AACATAACCTCTATTCAGAATTTGTGAAAAAAACAATAGTTTGGAACCTGTATCTTCATTCGAATAATATTCTGAATCTTCAAACTCTCCTTGGAGTCTATTCACAATATCTCTGGAAACCCTCTGTGGAGAAATGGTGAATGTATTCCAACATAGCATTCGTAGCTAGATTTTCAATATGTTTTGTCCCTTGTACCTAAATGAATTTTGACACCCACCTGAAATGTTCAATGAATTGTGTATCTGAATATAATAGCAAAGGCTCCCCAACATAATCCCCCATTTTTCGGTTTATCTAACAAAAGTTCGAGAATCATCAGATTAGGTACAATATTTTCAGCAACTTCAGCAAGTAACTCCTTCACCACTGTTTCCTGAAGATGAAGAACTACTACTGTCGAATGAATGAAAATATCAAAAAGGGCAATAAACAATAGATTAAACAAAAATATATCATTATATATTATGACGTTACGCTACAACAGATCTAAAAGTAAATGAAATCAGCATGCGTCAAAAATAATACCTAACCTAAACGGTCCACGCTCGAGAGCAGGTACTAGTTTTGAATAGTTCTAGGACCGTCTCAGGACGATTCTGGAAAAATCCGAACTCGTGAAGAGTTAGTACTAGAACAGTTCCACAAAACCCGAACGCGACCGATTCAACTGCGCCAACTCCTGACAGTTCTAGAACCGTAAAAGTTCGAACCTGAATGAACCTTAAGTGACGAAAATGGTTGTACACTTTTTGATTGGTCAGACAATATGGAGGTACATCAACTTGTCTTGTTTTCTCCATTCAATTTTACGCATTCCATTTCACTTTGTCAATGCTTCGTCTTTGTTTTTTGCTTTTTGGACACAAAACATTCAACAATCCGACATGAAAATCTATACGTCAGTACCTTAGATATTGACTATTAGAATCCGTCTTTTGGGACACGTCAGTCTCAGATTATTCAGATGATGAAATAAAATTATCAAATATCTAAACCTAACATCAGGTGGGCACTTCGAACGTGCAAATTCAATAATGCATGGGAGATGCCCTTCAGATTTTTAGTTATTCAGTGACTTGACATTCCGGAAATGGCAGTCGTTTGGATGTCTATTGACGTCACTAGTCATTTCGATGTCTATTGTCGTCACTTTATTTATAAAGTCACTCTAGTAGGACTAGCCCTGAGAACTATCACTAAATTTGTATTTCATTGCTCATTGTAACTATAAGAATTTGCAAATTCAGATTCATGCTTCAATATTAGTTACTAATCATCAGAGGAATTTACAAAAAAAAAAATATTATTTCTTATGAAAAAATTACCAAGTTCACGAAATCTGTGGGGGCGATGGACAATTCTGTATGTTTTCTAGGAAATCACTTCCTACGTTTGCGACCAACCAATTTTTCAATCTCAAAGTTTTGGTGAAACTTAGGACATATATATACAGAAACGTGTTTTTATGTTTGCCACTATTTAAGATTCTTAGGAACGATGAAGAATCATATTTTCTATGAAATAAAAATGTGAGTATTATTTCAATATGTGTAGTAGGATAAATCAGATGATTTGCGCCAAAATGTCACTGCGTTTAACAAATATTTCAATCTGGGAACCTAAAAGAAAAATCCAATAGCTTGTCAGTGACACTTTGTTTGGAAAAATGTTTGAAGAGAAGAAATATAGATATATTGAGAAATATCGAATTTTTACTTATCCTTTGGCATTTCGGGAACGAATCTGCTCCCGTTCTCAACATAAAAATGCAAAAATATTTTTTTTAGAAAGTTGTGTTCTTATAATTTGGCACTTTTCAGTGACATACTGATGTTCTCATATGGATGAGCGATTATGTTGGTATACAAATGAGGTACAGGATGTTTTCATTAATTGATCTTGAATCTATCATTTTCATGTTCAGTTTTCAGTAGTGAATACCATCTTCTATCTATATCAACTGAACAGGAAGCAATGCTATTGTCTCTGTTCAGAGAAAATCCCAAATATAAAGCAAAATGAATGTACCACCTCCTCCATTAACCGACAGACAGCATATTTTCTTTGATTTCATCATTTTACGACTTGCATATTTTTGTCTACAAGAAAACCAAAATTGTTTGTGATTCACAATGTTAACAATGTTGCCGGCTTTGTACGAGGGGGCAAATTTTTATAATTTCATTGAGCACTATAGAACACAACTTTTGTGTAAGTTTGCATTGGTTGCCCTAAATAGAATAGGCGCGTGGGAATTCTAATATGCCCTCATTGAAATTGATTCTTAGCTTAAAATTGTGTGTCTTCCTTATTTATTCTCCGTTCTCCTTGAAAGTAATATAGGGTAGATACAGGGTCTTCACATAGGTTCAGGTATATTTTGAACATTCTCATTGACTTTTTTGTTAAAGAAGCATCAAAAAGAGCTGTAAATTTGATTCATCTACGATTTATTTGAATGTTTGAAATGAAAATTATTGTTTCCATGATGTAGGTGACATGATATAAAAATGAGAATATTTTTTCAGATTGAATACCCTGATTCTTTCTTAATAGTATACATGGTTACTATGTATATTGTTCTGATACATGGTACGCATGTTCACCTGCCACTTTCCAAGACACTAACGTACTAATTGGAAAAATTCCATGTCAGGCTGAAAAAAAATTCAAAAATAGACTCAAAGTGTATCATTTAAAGTTTTCCGCATGTACAATTTTACTATAACCATATTCAGTACTTGATAATTTATTCATTATTCCAATTTTTTTGGGATTTTCTCTCCTCGTTTCATTAAAATGAAAATATGAATATTATTTCAATGTACGTGTAGTAAGGACAAATCAGATGATTTGCCCCAAACTGTCACTACGTTTAAAGAATTTTCCTATCAGAGAAGATAAATAAAGGTAAGCAAATTCGTATCTGTCTTGTTTGAGTTAGAATTGATCTCATTGTATTTTCAGTTTTGAACACAGTTTTCACTTGAAATTTATCACCAACGCACGATTTATTTTTTTCAGATATGCCGGGAATGTATGGTATTCACTACTAAAATCTGAACATGAAAATGTTAAATTCAAGATTAATTAATGATAACATCCTGTAACTCATTTGATTGCCAACATCACCAATTGTCACTGAAAACTGAAAAGCTTCAAGACAGATACGACTTTGCTATCAAAATAATCATTTCTTATATTGAAAACGGGGGCAGATTCGGTCCCGAAACGTCCAAAGATAAGTGAAAATTTGTCTATATACCTTTATTTATCTTCTCCAAACTTTTTTCAATACAAATTGTCACTTACAAGCTGGTGAATTTTTCTTTTAGGCTCTCTGATAGGAAAATTCTTTAAACGCAGTGACATTTTCGGGCAAAACATCTGATTTGTCCTTACTACACGTATATTGAAATAATATTCATATTTTTATTTTATAGAAACGAGGAGAGAATAATAAATGTACCACCTCCTCGATTACAGACAGTATTTGATGATTTATGTTTTTTTTTTTATATGATGTCGGAGTTTTTTTCCGAATATTAATTCTCTCTTCTATAAAGATAGTTGCTGTATTTTTTCAATGCAAAGTTCTATGGGCTTTTTGAAATTATTATCGGTACCCTTCCCTCAAAAACGCCACTGTCATTCGCCTCCACGTATAGTTTGGAACTTCAGGAATGCGATTTGGGGCGTCGCTACACCCCGGGGCAGGCCCTGTTGATATATTGGTCGACAATTAATATGTAGATTAGGGTTTAATTGGGCCAATTAAAGGGAACTAGTGAAAAACAATTAATTGTCCCGTGTCTGTACGAGTTAGCTGCCGCATCTCGGGATGATGGGATGATCATTTTTCGGATGAAATTTTAACTGGTTCGGCGTTTCTTTCTGATCAGACAATTTGGTAGGGCGGATTCGATAATGTTTTTGTTTTTTTAATGTTGGACGAGTTTGTGTTCCGTATGATTTTTTCCAAGCACTTTGGAATTTCTTAAGAATTCGATTTATATTACATATATATACAGTGTGTCCACCTTAAGGACTTACCACCCCTGTAAAATTGTTATTATCTGACCGATTTCAAAAATAGTTATTTATTATACAAGGGAAAAAAGTAGTAGTAGTAGATTTTAGCTCCAGGTTGTGTTGTCAAAAAACCGTGAGCTAAAATCTAATATTTTTCCCGTGTATAATGCATTATTTTTTTCTGTGACAGAAGAAAAGACGAATCAATATTGAGAAGATCATTACTTTGAAATTTGAAAATTATCGACGTGAAATTTTAAGTTATTAACAGTAGGAACACCTGCGTTGTAGGCATCTTTATCATTCCTTTGAAGTAATCAAATATCTGATGTCACTTCTGTCAGTCTAATTCTGTGATTTGATTTAAAAAAATTGCGAATTTAGTGGTTGTTTAGCAATATACGTAACCGCGACGTCGAATGGAAGATGAAAGGACTTGTATTTATGAAAAGTGACATTTTATAACCTGCCAACAGAGATGAAATGCCAAACTTTTTTCCCGTCACAGAAAAAAGATTATTATTATTATAGTTCATTATCACAAACCATTTTCTCCTCATAGGTATAGAGCTATGTATTTTATCATAGTATACCTATATTACATAACAAGAGTTGTATAACGCGCATATTACAGTCCATGTCAGAGTTGCACACGATGCCGCGTAGCATAACGAACTATTTTTTTCATATCTTAAAAACCTTATTAATATCAAAAATTACATTCCATGAACATATAATAGTTATTTCTGTATCTAGAGCGCGAAATGCTACTTTGGTGATCGAGAGTCGCATTTTTTGACCTAGACGTTGACGTTGTAGAAAAATGCTACGTGTGTATTTGGAATTGTATGGTGTAAACCTATTTGAAGAGTTTTTATCCCCTCGATTTTCGGATTTTCATCAAAACAAAATTTCAAAATTTTCCTGAATACCTAATATTCTATTAATTTTGTTGTTGTTGTTTCAGATGCGTGTTCGTCACGCACGACGCCGAAACCGCGTCCACCGGCGCCGACGCCTCGTCCCAACATCACATTCCACACGTACGAGTGTCCGCCGACGTACGCGGCCTACTACTGCCTCAACGGGGCCACGTGCTTCACCGTCAAGATCGGCGATTCCCTTATGTATAATTGCGAGTGAGTACACCTCTCATCCAACTAACCCTTGAATATTACGCTCGCTTTTAATTACTGGAGGTTATATGCCTCGAGTAAAACCTCCCTTGGCAATGTGTTCCAGAGCCTCGCTGTTCGTTGGATGAACGAGTCTTTGGAAAGAGATGTTCTGCAGGTCTCCAAAGTGACCACGAAGGGGTGCGAAGCCACAACTCGACGGGTTAATCTCGCGGAGACTGCCAAGGGAGGAACAATTGTTGTTATTTCAGAGGAGCATCGTCCATGAAAATATCTATAAAATGAAGTCAGATCGCCAACGTCTCACATAATATGGCAGCAATCTATTGAAAAATATGGTGAAACCTTAGCCGTGGCACTTGATACTCCAAGGCATTCGATTGAGTCTGGCACCACGGACTCCTTGCCAAGATTTAATCTTATGGCTTGCCTCCCCAGCTATGTTCTCTGCTAGCTAGTTTTCTCTCGAATAGGTCTCTCCATGTAGTGGTCGACGGATTTCCATCTGACTCTCTTATCATAAATGCTAGTGTTCCGCAAGGATCAATTCTAACACCAACACTATTTCTACTCCATATATCAACGATTTGTTGGAAGCAACTTCATGTCCAGTTCACAGTTTCGCGGATGATAGTACCCTCCATACCGCCTTCCCTTCCAGGGCTCCAATACCAGCCAGGCAAATCAGAAACAAACGAGGGAGAAATGTTGACAACATAAATATGGACTTGGCAACAATTCTTGAATGGGGATCCAATAGCTTGGTAGATTTCAATGCAGACAAAACATAAGCATGCCTTTTATGTAGAAAAGCCGATCTCACGGTGACCAACGTAAGCTTGTCAGGAGTAACCATACATTTGAAAACATCCATTTCCATGCTTGGTATTACTATCAGCAATAACCTTTCTTGGGAAAATCACGTGAGATCAATTGCTGAAAGTGCATCCCAAAAACTTGGTTTTCTGTTTCGGGCCAGGAGCTATTTCACTTCCAGTCAGCTGCTTATGATCTATAAGGCACAGATCCGACGTGTCCTGGAATACTGTTCCCATATTTGGAGTGCAGAGTGCAGCACCCAAACATACTCTGAAAATGTTTTATTCTGCCCAAAAAAGGGCAATTCGTCTCGTGGGTAATGCCTCGCTCACAAACTCACTCACTTTTCTGGAACACCGTAGAAAAGTTGGCAATCTGGCTCTATTTTATAGATATTTTCATGGACGATGCTCTTCTGAAATATCAACAATTGTTCCTCCCCTGACCGCCCCCGCGAGTTTAACCTGTCGAGTTGTTGAGGCTTCACACCCCTTCGTGATCACTTTGGACACCTGCAGAACATTTCTTACCTAAGACTCGTTCATCCAACGAACAGCGTGGCTCTGGAACACATTGCCAAGGAAGGTGTTCCCCGAGGCATATAACCTCCAGAAATTTAAGAAGAACACCAATTCCTACCTTATTTCTTGGTTCCCACGATGTTCTCTGAACATTACAGGATATCCCTTTTCGTGGGAACCAGAAAATAAAAAAAAATACACCAAGGGCCTATTTATGCATAATTTTCTTAGTCTTAGTCAAAGTCTTTGTTACAATCATAAAATCAAGTTATGAGCATGCATATATCAATAGCTGAATTCATGCAACATTTTTAGTCCCAGTCTCAATCATAATCATTCAATCATGACCTTGAAAGTTACAAACTTTCGATGTCTTGCTTATGATTGAGACCACATAAGAAATATGCATGTGTCGACCTGTCATCATATTTGACAATCACATATGACTTTTAATTGTGTGTTTGTCACCAAAAAATCAGTGCTGTGTCAATAATTGATTACATCATTCTGATAATTTGATAATATTTGATAACAAATATCAAAACACCATGAGCCTGGAAGAAGGAACCCTAATAGATTTGGTGGAGAAATTCCCCCATCTGTGAGACAAGAAAGACGCAAAGATACAAAGATAAAATTGCAATAGAGAATTCCTGGAAAGCAATTTCACAAATCATGGCATTGACTGGTAACTAGACTACATTTTATCTCAAATAATCCTCAAAATTAGCTCAAAAACCTGCTCCAAAACAAAACATTAGAATTGGCAGTTGACATTACTGACACCTCAGTTGACACTTTTGACGGATTGTCGATTGTCATATCATAACTCTCAAGAATGATGGAAGTAAGATATGGTGTAATTACTGATGCGCTTTTGTTTCAGAAATTTTAATGGCGATTGGCGACATTGCACAATTATAACATCTGTTGAGAGATGAATAATCCCACTGTTACATATGTTCCGCGTACCTAAAATGCCATTTGCCATTTTATTTCCACTCGTCACAGCAGCAATAGCAGCATCACCATCTAGCGGAAAAATGTAGAATCAACGTCTCGCTCGTTGTGACGTAGAGAAATCATAGTAGGCGGTCGAGTGATTTTTCTGAAATTTTTAATACGTAATAATGACCGAATGCTCGTACCATATCTTACTCCCATCATTCTCTTAAGCCTGAAGACTGTGATGCATTGAGGTCCAAATGAGTTAATATTCTATCCACCTTGGTTCAGACTATGATCAAGACAATGACTGAGACAATGATGCATAAATAAGGCCAATAACAAGATGATCCACCATTATTTTATTATTCACACTAACAAGATGATTTGGCCTTAGTTTCTTGGCTGGTTCGTAGGCGGCGCCAGCAAAACTCGGCAAAATATGCAGTGTTGCCAACATGGAAACTGTGAAAATTCCATATTTCTCGAAAACATTTCCCGCCGTTTCCCGCTACATTCAAATTTATTGAATAATCTATCAAGGAATTTGTTTCGAAAAATAATGATAAACATAATCTATCGAAATGAAGAGAAGATATCCTAATTTTAATGATATGACGCCTAAAATCAAATTCTTTTTATATTTTCAACATATATTTTCCAAAGAAGAATTCTTAGATATAATTCACAAAAACAAAACACACTACACAAACTCACTGTTCAGAGCGTAGAATGATTTGTTTCATCTGTGAATGTACGGTTTTATGTTACAAATGAGGGTTTTTCTCCCAATGTAGAGATGAATTCCCACTGGATGAGACGATTAATCCATAACAATACAGTTATGCGCATTTACAAAAATTCTTTTCTAGTTTCTCATGCACGTACACGTTTTCCTGCATATTTCCCAGAAAATGATTTCTTCCACCAAAAATCCCGCATACGTTCGAATTTCCCGAGATGCGGGAAATTTCGCGCCAACTGGCAACACTGAAAATATTGGCGATTTGTCCATACTCTAGGAATCTGCTCGAGTCCATCTATCTGCAAGTTGCTGACCTATGCGCGATAGAAAATAAGCGTACGCCACCTATCGGATTTCTTGAAAGCTGTCGAAGCAGCATGTTTACTTTGTTTCCATTGGTTCGCATTTGTTTTTTGTTTGTGCTCATTGGTCACATCGATGAAATCAAACCGCTATGTGTTCAAGTTGTTGCCGTAAGTGGGGTGATGTGTTATTTTCTATCGCCAATAACAAAATATCCGCCAACTTTTTGGTACTGATCTACGAATAAGAGCGGGTTTATACAGGAAATAAGATAAGATAAGATTCTTATCTTCTTATCATAAGAATTAGAATAAAATAAAATAAGGAATAAGGATATTGGTGTACCGTTTATACAGATAAATAAAATAAAATAAGAAATAAGAATAAACCAATCATTGCGCATTATTTTGGCAATGACTTATGTCAATCGTCAATGTCAACTTCAGTTGGGAGTTAGAATTTGTTTTTTTGTGCAGACCGGTGAACGGCGAAGATCTTATTCACTTCATCAAACAGTTTTTGAATGCTTCAATTTGAAATACAATATACAACCATCAGCGTACAAAACAAAACAAAGAATTTGAGGTTATATGACAAGTGTCGTTTTTAAATGGGCGTGTCCGATTGAAATTGCACATGCGCACATCGATTTTCGAATAAAATAAAATAAAAAGTTGGTCAACTCTTATTTCATTCCTTATTTCTTATTTTATCTTAGTTCATGTATAAACGTTTCCATTATAATACGTATGTTGAACTTTCTTATCTTATTCCTTATTTTATCTTATTCGCTGTATAAACCCACTCTTAGAAATTGGTAGTTTTCCATGTACTATGTACCTCTTCGTTTTTTAAGATAGTCTGGGTTGTTTGAAGTTTGAAAATCAATTGTGAAAATGTCAATTTGTAAAAACTGATGGGAACATTCTTCATCCATTTATGATTTCAAGCAAATTGATATCAACAGTTTTATTTTGCAGGTGTGCAGAAAGTTACGTAGGACCTAGATGTGAATATAAAGATCTAGATGGATCTTATTTACGTAAGTGACTGAACTAGTTTACATTACTTTAGAACCCTTTTTATTATATTTAGATTATTTTGTTTAATTAATAATTTAAGCATAAAAATAATGTTATTGTTATTGAACTGGAATACATTGGTTATTGTTTTTGATACTTACTCAATTTATCACCATCAGTTATTTAAATACTCTATCGTTTTCAAAACAAAATATTCCGAAAACAATACACAGTATTACTAGCGTCTAGAGACAGGGCGCAACAAATAATCCATGCGGAAACAAGTCTACAGATTCCGACTGAGCGAAGCTCCTGAAAAAAATTGAAATAGCCAATCACTATCGACCTCAACCTCAACAGTATTTTTTCATTACAAATTGGTGGATTATGGGATTCGAACCCGAAACCTTTGGCTTATCAGGCACGTACGTTGCTCCATCGACCATAGAGTTTCTTGCGAAATTACGTACAAAACAAAACACACGAATGGAATATTGTTTGTAGCACCCTGACTCTAGACGCCTCTCACAGTATCAGTTTCACCTAAAATCTATCCTCGCAGAAGTTATTTTTGAAAATATCGGTACGAACCGTCCTCTATGAGTCAGATTCAAAAACAAATTCATGAGGTGTGTCAGCTTCTAAAACATATTCATACAAAATTTCATTACCTACGGTATTGTCAGTAGTAGTTCGTCATGTCAACTGTTTTATACAAGCTAACCTAACATAATTGACAAATCATATCTTACAGAACGTGACAGACCATGGACAGACCCCATAGAGCAATAAAACAGTGTTGCTAGCTTAACTATTTTTTTTTCTACATTTTGTTATATTCATCAACATGTTTTGTTCATTTTTCTAATTCGAGTCCATTTTTGGAAACTAACAAAACATATTTCTCCAAGAAGTCGCAGTACTACGAAAGCGTAGAACGGCACCAAAAATTAAGAACAAGAAGAAGAACAAATTAATACAACTACTAGCTTACAACTTTCAGATTTTCGAAATTTTGCTAGTTACAACTCGCAGTAATGTGGAGTCAATATCTGCTGTCAGAAAGGAAAAACAAAAATTTCGTGTTCCATTTTTGCTCTACCTAGCGTGTATCTTGTTCAAATCGATAACAATTGCAGAAGTTCCCTTTGAAGTGAGTGCAGGTGCTGCACGAGAATCTGCAATTATTGTTTTTGGATAAACTTTAACGTATGTTGTTTTTCAATGCAAATGAGATGCAAACAATTGAATCAAATTGTTTTTATTTCGAATTTCGTTCGATCAATAGTCCAGTCATTATATCCAAATAACGGACCTTACCCGTGAATAATTTTTCACCACATTTGATTCTCTACAAGTTTAGTCCTCTTCATTTATGCCGTAAAGTTGAAAATCAACGAGATAATAAAAATATTTCGAATTTGTCGCTTTTTTCAGGTTTAATTTACAAAATATCGATCCTATCAGAAAAATTGTGTGGACCAAACTTGTAGAGAACCAAATTTACTACAATTTTTGTCCGTAAACTTTTTCTGTAGAATCAAAAATGGCCGAGTTATTCAAGAAAAACAGTTTTTTAACAAAAAAAAACAGTTTTCGAACATACGCAAAAGCATGATTTGGTCGCCATTTTGAATTTACACTCCCAGTGACCCCCCCGAGGCACCTATGAAAAAAAAAAACACTAAAAAATTATTCACGGGTCAAAGTGTATAATGACTGGACTAAAGGTAATTTGTGGAAGATTGTGCTTGATGCAGAAACGAAGCGCAGGCGTAGACCGGTGGCGCAATCTCAGTTGTCAGTTTTACGCTTGTTTAACGTCAAATCTCGCGACCAAGCACAAAACACCTGAATGAGATTACTGCCAGTTATAAGTTGCAGAATTTAGCATTCATTACTGCAAACTACAAGTTGTATTAAGTTGCAGTAATTCGCATTACTACGAGTTATACAGGGTGTACCTGAAATGTCTGTTCAAAATAATACACAACAGACTTCTAAGAGCAAAGTGATACGGTACCATACGGAACCAACCTTACCTAAAAGTCTATACCAAAACGCTCCGTTTAGCCCCTACAGAGGAAGTTGGAATTGAATTTGTATTCTTTATTTTTTCGTTATTTCAATATTCTCTATAGTTATCGTTCTGAAACGTATTTAGAGTACTTTTGATCGAAAAATTGATGCTTTTTCTGATTATGCCAGTAAACAGATCTGAATTTTCTTTTCTATTATTTTATTCAATGCCTAACTTTCAGCCCTCTTGAAAGTTTATGATATTTGTAATAGTTTACAAGTTAATTTTCCAAATTAAATTTGATCCATACCTGATACTCTTCAGAATTATATTGTATATTTCTTCTTATTTTTCATATGAAATCATCAATCATATATCATCTTATCGATGACATTTAATTATTTGATATGTAGTACAGATCCGTCACGAATGCAAAATATTAATAATGATACAAATGGAACGTTTTGGTATTGAGGTAAGTTTGGTTCAATCATATCACTTTCGTCTTAGGAGTCTGTGGTATCATTTTGTACAGACTTTTCAGGGACACCCTGCAAGTTGTGGGTTGCAGTCGAAGTCCTGAGGGGGCAAAAGGACGATCTAGCCTTCATAGCAATCTAGTGGTAGCAAGGTATGATTGATTAATCGACCTATACACCTTTGCACTTAGCCACTAGATTGCTATGAAGGCTAGATCGTCCTTCTGCCCCCTCAGGGCTTCGACTTGTTTAATCTATGGAGGTACCGTTCGTGAATCGATTGTCATCTGGCCAGTGCAACTGATGAGACTTATGGCAAGTCGAAACAGTCTGTCGTGCATCAGCTGACAATCGATTCACGAAATTTCCCTAGAATCTCTTAGTCTTGAGATTCTAGGTTTATCTTATTTTTTTATGTTTGGTGACCCTTCTACGTCTTCGTACATTACAGAATGGGCATTTGTATTTTTTTTTTTCGGCATTGTCTCTGATGTCTGGGGTATGCTCTTACCCCGAAGCCAACCCCTGAGTGCACCAGTGCACTAACAATTCCCCTTTTCTGTTGCAGCGTCACAACGGAGGTTCATGCTGGAAACGGCGAGCATAGCCGGGGGAGCAACAATAGCTGTATTTTCAGTAGTGATATTATGCGTGGTGGTGTACCTGCATTACAAGCGCCGCGCAAAAGCCGCCCGGGCCGGAACGGACTGTGTGGACGGTGTGGGCGGGGCGAGTTTGGCGAAAACGCCGGTGTTCGGCGCCAGGTGGCGGACCAATCCGGAGCTGCCCGCGCGAGGGGCAGCCTTGCAGGACCGGGGCGACATGAAGCAGGGCAGCAAGGTGGAGCTGCACCAAGTGACTACCTTGCTGCCTCCTGCCGAGAGTGAACCGTGAGGGGCGGGGCGCATAGCTAGCAATTCCAAATGCACGTATTCAAAACGCCCCGATAACAGGCATAGGCATAGTGGAAGGAGAAGATGGCGTGCTCCACAGAAAGCTCAAACTCGTCTTGTTCTGCGCATGACGTCAGCTGGGATATAACTGTCATTGTTATTATTCGATGTCCCAAACTTCAGATATCATATAAGTTCTAAAATGGAATGAAATAATGATATTGAATTGTTCTGCTTTTTCAAGAATGGATACCCAATGAAACGATGGGAGCTTGCTGCCAACCGAAAATGAACTCAAATATTGTTACCTATCTTGTATTACTTATATACTCATTCTAAAGTATTCACCTATCATATTATCATCAAATTCATATTACAGCACGTATTTCTTCGAAACATTTCCATGCAAAATTTTCCCAAACAAGTTTGAAATTACGGTTCTTGATACACACCTCCAAAAAATCGCAAATATTTGAAACAGATGCCATTCCTACAGAACATAACATCTTCCGTCGAATATTAAGTTATGAATAATTGAAAATGAATCCAAAACACTCAATTTCTCACAGAATATAAACTGCAACAAAGATTTGAATAACAAACGGCAAAACTTGCCGATGTCAGAGCAACGTCAACGTCGTTAACTGCTTAATTTTAATCTGTCAGAATCGACACAGTGGTGGATCGTTCGATGGGATTGGCAATGCATGATAATTCGTTTATGTTTGTTATTTGCGTATGCGAATTACCGCAAGATCACGAATTCCAGAATCAATGGAATAGTAAAATCGAAGGAATAAGTACCTACGTATGTAAATTGAATTATTTTCCCCCATGGCAACGATATCTGTCTTTGACTAGCAGCTGATATTGGTATCCCAGATGACGTCACATAATATGCGCGTAGGCACACCATCTTATCCTTCCGCAAGGCAAGCTTTTAGACCAATCACAACGTTGAGTTTCACGCGTGCGTGTTTCGGCTTAGGTTTTTTAATTTAGAATAAAAATCAGTTTAAAATGGTTTGAATTTTGAATTATTCTGGACTTTGGAGTCATCATAAACTACTCTCGGAGTTCTGGACCACAAGTGATGGCAGATTTTCATTTCGATCAACTCATTGTCAATAAATCGGAAATAGAGGTAATATACGGACGCACTTCACCCAATATACAATCACAATAATAATATCTGTGTTAATATATATAGAACTTACTTCCTCTTTGGACCATGAAAATGAAGGAAATGGTGAAACTGCATTCATCATGCGATGGGTTTTTTTACAAAAAAATTTTTTGTACTTGCGAATTTGATAATGAAAATGTGAACAAACTATTATTTATCAAGATATTTCACTATAAAGTTACAAATGTCACCTTTTCCGCCTGTCTTCTGGATCGCATTTAGAACAATTTGCTCTTCTTTTTTCATCATAGTGGTTCGTTCACATTTCCATTATCAAATTCGTGTTTTTCAGACAAAAATACATAAGTACCAAAAAACATATTCGAAAAAGATCCCGTCGCATGATAAATGCAGTTTTACCAAAATATATTTTTAGTTGCAGCAATTTGTCCTAAATGTCATTCTCTAATTCCTATCATATGCTTCATTAATAATTGCTAATTCATATTACCAGACACTTGGGAAATAATTCATTGATCATTATTCGATGTATGACTCGGTGATTCAAAATCGCCAAGATCCGCGATTCGAATTTACCGCCAAGGCCAAAATCGACCTGATTGGTCTAAAAGCTCATCTATGCCTGTTATCGGGGCGTTTTGAAAACGTGCATTCCAAATAGCGGTTGATGTTCGGGTCGATGGGCGGGACTTCGACTAGTGAAATTGTAGTGGACGAACCAAATTCGTAGATTGTATGAAACTTGATTTGGAAATGAAGTGGATGGATGGCACTTTGTTATGATGCAGCTTTGCTAATTAACTTATTTTATTTTTATACATACACCTATGCAGCTTTTAGAATCTGCGAACTGTCAATATTTTGGCACCTAAATTTACCTCAATAAAAAAATGTTGGATTATATAACATTGATGAATTTTATTTTTTTTTCTTTTCCGCGGTACCCGTGTCGGCGGGTACGAGTGAATTTTTAACGATTCCGTTTGATTCAAAATTCGAAATAGCAACCAAATCACTACTTGCTAGCTATGACAATTTAGTAACGTTTATTGAAACAGTGAAATTTGTACAGCAAGTCTGATATATATAAGTCTGAAAGTAATTTATATAAGTTATTCGACATTGTAAATATGTACCTCGCCCAGAGGTATTTTAATATATACAATTTTGTATAATATAGTTATGAATGTCTTGAACTGTGCAGATTGAATGGTTTTAAAACAAATTGTCATTTTTACTTTGTGTTAAAATATGTACTACATTCCCGGATGTATTCGTTAAAACAAAGCCTCGCTAACACTTTGTTATTGTTAACTTGTTATACTTCTTGATCGGTAAGTCGATAAGTGCTCGAATAAAGTAATAGGATCGAGTTCTTGTTATGAAATGGAACTGGAATTTTTGTGATTCTCGAGAAAAATATCGGCAACTGTTTTCTTGTATAAATTGTAGATATCCGATAATTATATTCCAATAATGAATGTGTCCGCATTTCCCTATTATTGGCAATAATTATTATATACAGTAATGAATATTTATAAGCACTTGGTTCCTAATTTATTGAAGTAACGTTTTGTATTGTTTTAGAAAACCATTTTCTATGCATACCAAGGTTGCAAATGTCTTTTACTTCTATTGTATTTTAAATTATTCGAGTATTCTAACATAGCTTATATTTATTATTCTCTTTGCTCTAGTGACATTTGCCACCTTGGTATTTGGTCAATATTCAATTGCCAGTTACGAATGTAAAATAATTTATGCTCCAAACCAAAGCCGTAGTATTTTTTATGCAACACAAATATGAAAAAATACAAGTTGGTTGATTTATCGAAAAGAAATTTTTGAATGTGCTGCATAAACTCTACCTTATCAGACTTCAAGTATTAATGTCATTAATATATTAATAGTTATTTTTTTTGTGTTAATTTTCTACACTACTACTTTAGTGTAGACCTTTTAATTTGGCGTCTTTTTTATTTTGTCAAATACATGTATATAATTTCAGTAAACAAATGTTAGAATACTTATTTGTTTATTATTTTCACATAATGTACTAAATTAAAATAAAAAAATAAAATATTACACTTAAACTCTGTCTACTCTCATTTGATATAGGTACCATACCCTATAATTTTTCAATGTAAATATATACCCTATGATTTTTCAAAATGTTCTCCGGAACTTCTGGTTTTGACCGCATTTAATCTGTATATCATCAATTGAAAAATTATGTGTTTTTACATCACACTTGGGGTCTAGCAGGAATGATTACAGAGATATAGGGTGTTCAAAATCGAGATTTTTCAATTTTAGGTTTTTTTTGTGTCGAAACTATTCATTATCGATCAAAACGGCTTACATGTCCCTATCTTAACTTTTGATTGACTATCTACTGGAATTTGATTGGAAAAAATACAGGGTGCTTCAAGATTCAGAATTATGATCACCCTGTATCTGTTCCAATTAGATGTCAGTAGATAGTGAATCGAAAGTTAAGATAGGGACATGTAAGCCGTTTTGATCAATAATGAATAGTTTCGACACAAAAAAATCCTGAAATTGAAAAATCTCGATTTTGAACACCCTATATCTATGTAATAATTCCTGCTAGGCCCCAAGTGTGATACATTGATGAAATCAGATTCTCAGGGAGAATCTAAAAATTCAATAAAATACAGGGTGCTCTATTCAGAATAACGAAGTTACTAGTTGTTTCTGATAGAAGTGGCAACACTGTATCGATGAAAATCTTTTAGACGGATAGAGAATGTTCAATTATCAAAGCATCCCAATTTTCAGAATGTTCTGTCTTTTCGTTTAATCACCGCACATTCATGAACATAAGATACATTCTTTGAAAAAGAAAACAAATTCAACATAAACGATCCATAAATTAGAAGGAAACCATAGTTTTCATATTTTCGAAATTTTACACTTAGTCCTGTAATTAATAATTTTGTGGAAATTTCATCGTTCAGCTGATAGTCGAATTTCAATATTGAACAAGATGTTTTCCTTGTATCCGGAGTATCATGGCCATATTACCCAATTCATACATTCAAGTATATGTTCTAGTAATCCCTTTGCAAAATTCGAAGTCAAGTGTACAAAATTTCAAAATAAAACAGTATTTTGTCAAAAAACTGGGAACCAATTACCTTCTACAGCTGAAACACCTCAAGAGAATGGGAGCCATGGAGAACTTTCATACTAAAAAAACTATAGCATCAAAGGAATGAGCAGTTTAAAATATTTCAAAAACATTAAAAAGTGCTAAGGCTATGGGTCAAATAGGAAAAAATTTGAAAATAGGACAAGCTTTATTTTTCTATGAACAAAATATTGTATTTTCTCTCATTTAGCTTAGCACCATGATAGATCTTTTCAATTTCTCCCTCTGTTTCCGTTTTTTGTCACCCTTACTCTTTTCCCTTGTGGCATCCCTGAACATCTGCACCCCTTCCGCTGCCTCTATTTCTTTTTGAAGGAACTGCATCCCAAAGTAATTAAAACCTACCAAGTCCTAAAAATTCCAGAAATAATCATAAACACGTCATCAAAAGTTATTCAACTCATTCAGATCATATTACAAGGGTGCTTTAATGTAATGGTTTGTTATAGCCGATGGAAAAGATATCTTTGATCAATACATTTTTTTCAAGAGAAAATTTGGGCTGAAGGAATAATACACATTTATACTCTCCCTGAAAAAACAATGGATGAGTACTGATTTATTAAGGAACATTTTTTTACTGGTTTTAAGGTCTCCAAAGCTCAAAAAAAGTCAAAGCCGCATTCAAGGACGAAAATTACCACACATTGTAACCGATACTGTGATATGACTCAATGAGAAACAATGGTCAAGTTTCGGTATTACCTACCAGCACTGGCCAGTACATTTTTTCATTTTACTGAAAACTAGTGATACAGAGCCGGCTGCAAATTTTGACCTTCATCTGATAACGAGATGACATATTATTATGTCACAATGGCTTTTAAATAGTACATTGTTTTATTAGGATCAAATGTGACACTTTGTTTGACAAGCGATATTTGCGTTTGCGAAAAATATATAGGGCGTTTCAATCGAAAAAGTATTGACTATAAACTCGCACCAAAGCACACTTTTCATGAATGAAATAATAATAAAAATGTTCAATCTCAACGCCCTGTATCTTTTTCCACAGCAATATTCTATCAAGACATATTCGGTCTTATCGCCATATTTTGGTCCAAACAATACGCTATCAGCCTATGTCTCAATAGTTCACCCTGAATAAAAAAATAATGAAAGGTTAACTAATGAATTCCACTCAGTGGAAACAACTTCATACTTTTCCGTAAGATGAAAGTTATACCATTTCAATTCTGAGTAATCAAATCCTGCCAAATTTTTTCAATCAAATTGTTCTGACCAGGTAATGTTCAAGATTGACTTACATCATGTATTTTTGTAAAATTTGTATATCGCTACTTCAAAGTTGGGAACCAACTCCCCAGAAGTCAGAACTTGTGCGGGGTTAGGAAGAGCGGGACCTACAGCTTATAGTGGAATCCGAACCACTTCTAGGGCATCGAGGTGTTGCCAGGATTACAAACATTAATCACACATTTTGAAGAAAAATGCTCAGCCGATAGCCGGATTAGAACCGACAGTACATTCACATCGTGAACGGCTATCTGGCGAATTTTAGGGCATAGACAAACTCGGCCACGGCGCCCCTATATATTTTGTTTGATTGTCTTTTTTATTATTATTATTATTATTATTATTATTATAGGAATACATACATAAATAATAATAATTTTTCAGGTTAAAATGAAATCTTCACATAAACTTGATGAGAACCATATAATAGTCATTTTGGCTGGAACCTAACCGGACAAACCAGGTTTACTTGATGATGACGTTATTATGACGTCACGGTTTACTTGTGAAGCTTGACAGATGTCAGTTTATCATCTTTTTTTGTTTATTGTTTGGTTTTAGAACTAATCCTTATGTAATGAACAAGAAATTCATCATCTGTAACGAAAATATATCATAGATACAAGCAAATTTGAAAAATTTGCTATATACATATTTACAATGAATCAAATATTTATTTTCATTAAAAATATGATGAGATCTCCTATTGAAAAAGACATATTATACGACTTCGCAATTGAAAAAATTTCTTCATGTTGAAAACGGGAACAGAATCGGTCCCGAAACGTCCAAAGATAAGTGAAAATTTTATATTTTTTTTACCTTTATTTCTTTTCTCCAAAAATTTTTCAATACAAATTGTCACTGACAAGCTAGTGAATTTTTCTTTTAGGCTCTCTGATAGGAAAATTCTTTAAACGCAGTGACATTTTGGGGCAAATCATCTGATTTGTCCTTACTACACGTATATTGAAATGATATTCATATTTTTATTTTATAGAAACGAGGAGAGAAAATCCCAAAAAATTTGGAATAATGAATCCATAATCACCTCTTTGAGAAGTATAATCATTTTTTTTTATCAATTATATAACCTCAGATCATAACAGCAACAAGAGCCCAATCCAGTACCCAATCAAAATCCCTAACTACTCTGTGAACTACCTCAGTGAGCTGGTTTGTGTGGTTGGTTAACTATTGCGTCATAGTTTGGATTACACTTTGAGGAAAATTAACGGGTTAACTTATTGTTGACTTGGTTTGTGTGGTTAACTTCGAGGAAAAATGGATTATAGTTCATTCTACACATATAAATGCTTTGATCACTATCACTATTTCTTTCAATGCATTCGGTAATGTATTGTATACAATTATTTTGAAACGAAGATAAGACATCGAAGAAGATGAAATACATGGAGAAACACTGTAAATATAGCTCACCCTTAGCTCCTGCACCCGCTCGGCACCCAACTTCTGCAGCTTCTGGAGCGTACCGAACAACGCTTGATTAGCGACGATTGGCGCGTGGTGGAGTTTCAACAGAAACATCGATATCTTGCACACCAGCTCGGTGTGATCGCCTCTAGCTGCCAACGATGGCAACATTTGCAGTAATTCACACACCGAGGAGAACGGTAAGATGAGCAGCGCTTCTTCCAAGTCACTAGAATGAAAATCATTGTCAGGGGCGGATTTAAGCGTTGCGACATAGGCGCGCGCCTAGGGGCCCGTACTACAAAGGAGACCGCACTACGAAAAAATTAAAAATAATGTCACTTGTCATGTATTACGTGCATATACTTGATACTATATACCATGATTGTGAATGTACCTACAGACGAACAGGGCTATAGTGAATTTGTGATTTTTGAATATAAACTAATCAAGAACAGACTGCGGACCTCTATGTCAGAAGACAGGCTAAACTTCTTAGCCTTGCTGAGAATAGAACAGGATATTTTGAAACAAGTCAACCATGAGAATATCATAAACGCCTTCATTATTGGAAAACTTAGACGGAAACCAACCAGTGAGAGTGACTGAAATGTACATTTATTTTAATATTCGAAAAAATATTCATTCAAGATATACTTAGGATCTAAAGAAGAGAGAAGAAGCAGAAAATATTTATTTGTACTTTTTTGGTTGATTCACCAATGTCATCCAATGTGCAGGCAAATTTTAAAAAAATGTCGCGGTTGGATGGTGTTAGCGATCTTATTGCAGGAGCGACTAGAAGTACTATCACCGCCAATGGACGACAATTGGGGCTTATATTTACCGAGAATTACCTGTTTTATGAATTAACGATGTTAAAGTTATCTTGAATATATCCCCTTTTTGCACCTATTTCTTAAAATGTTTCCTGGCGAGCTCCACCGGCCTCATCATTTTATTGGAGAGTATTCCATTCCGATGCTCCACGAGACTAGGGCCCGCACGACATGTGTACCCTAGGGACCTGTATGTTATAAATCCGGCGCTGATCATTGTCATAGGATGATTGGATTATTATCGATCAGTTCAACTATGAAATAGCCACAATGCTCAAAGTGGAATGGAATGGTAAACAAATAAAAAAAGCTCAAAGGCATTTCCACAACTGTTTATACAATGAACAACAACGATAGATGACGAGAGAAAAACAACTACTTTCCCGGCTAATGCCACGCAGAATATTGAATTACATCCTCCCAAAATCTATTCCTCAATAAGTAATTATAAACGGATACTAATGAAAGTGTTTCTTTCCCTAATGCCGATTGATTTCGATTTAGCCAGGTTAACGCAGCGACACCTACGGACCGGTTTCGAGCTCCTTGGCTCTCATCAGTGTAGGGTAGTCTCCAGCTAGTAGTCCACAGGCTACCAGGTATGTGTAACCTGACTACAAAATCCAATCAGCGCTGAACCGGTCTGTAGGTGTCGATGCCTGGCCAAATCGAAATCAATGGGCATTAGGGAAAGAAACACTTGTAATAAGTACCTATTCGTTTATACATATCCAGGCATAGATTTCGGGAGAATATATTTCAATGTTCTGCGTGGGATTAGCGAGGAAAGTAGTTGTTTTTCTCCCGTCATCTACCATTCTTGTTTATTTTATGAATATTTGTGGAAATGACTGAGCTGTTTTGTATTCATGGATCCTCTGTTAATTGTATCGATTTTTGAATTACAAGGTGTAAAGGAATTAGACGATAAAATTTCACCAAAGTTTCATATGACTTATGAGTGAGAAGAAGTTAGGCTATCACAGTCACTTTGGAATTTTCAATCTAAAAGGCAGACATGAATGACCACTTGGAACAATTTCTCTTCCAGTTTTTAAGCCAGTTATCAAATTTCCGTGCAGCTTGAAGCATCCACCTAAACAAAATATTTTCCAAGAATTTCTATACTGAATTACTTTGAAATCATGGAAAATGGAGGTTTCCCTGGATAGAACACTGAATATTCTGTTTTGTTTCCACCAATATGACACTGCCATTTCAGATTTTTATGAAAATATTCGATTTATGAAATAATATAAGAATATAAAAATGAATGATTCCTGTTGAAATTGAGAAACAGTTAGTGCATAATGAATATGTTACACTTGCAGCAAAATGTGATTGGGAACTGATAGAAACAGCTAAGTATTTATATACCTGATTTATCCTACCTTAATAATTTTGGGAACTTCTGGTCTGAAAGTTGAAGGAAATGAAAAACTAGAGCACTCAAGGATTATCTTGAAATGTCAAATTTCCCAATACATCAAAGCAATAAATCCAACATGTTTTATTGAAATTGATTTTTCCAGACTGAAATACATGTATATTATGGATGAAACCTTTTCCCAGTCTGTTTTTACAATCATCTAAATAAATAAGATACTGATATTGAACATTATATCATAAAGAATAAGAAATGCCAGAACGGAAATACGGGTAAATTGCTATCCTACTAGATGTGGTAATGTTCTTTAATAATTCTATCTAAGAATCTAAGAATCAAAAATTAGTGGGATATTTGAAATGCTCTAGAGAAATAAGGATCACTACTTGAGAGTTTTACAATGATACATTTTGCTCATCCAAAAAATTATTTTCAATAGGAATGATTTAAATTATATGTTGTAATGTGTCCCTTAGGAACTAGCTTTGAAGAGTGTTGAAATTTCAAATTAATTCTATAATGTGGCGGTAAGAGCGATTTCTTCCAGTTCAAGTTTTTGTACTCTATTGTACGGTTATTTTTTGACTCTTACTTTGTCAATGATAATACATCTTCAGACAATAAAGCATATGCTCTCTCTCTCTCATTTGTCTTGGAAAAATGAGTGATAATTTTCCTAAATTTTTCAAGTATAATTCACAAAACATCACAAATGTAGTTATTCTTCAGTCTACAAGTGAATAAAAAGATCCCATCGTCACGTGATACTTGATACTGAAATTGTTTCTGTCAAGAAAGTAAATGCACAAAGAACAAACATATAAATATTAGCACTTGACTCATTCAAAATATTCGAGAAATGTATACTTTTCTTAGATATTTCAATATTGTAAATTATTTACCTGGCTCGAATTCTTTTGATAGTCTCCAACAGAAAATCGTCAGGCGTTTTGGCATTGAAGGCGGCCATAAGTGGTGGCGGAATCGGCGCCGCCAACTGCTGACTGGAAGCGGCTTGCAACGCTTCATGTTCCACTAGCTGCTCTCTGTATTTCTCGCATATTTCCAAGCATTCCAGGATACTTTCAGCCTAACAACAAATAAACTCAATTCAATTCAATTTTTTGTTTCCAAGATATAACAATCCTATAACAAGAAGTTTGGTAGTGTTAGTAACATACAGATATCTAATCTGTAGTAGAAGTCTATATTTCCAATATATTACAATCTTATAACAAGAAGTTTGGTACTGTTAGGAACATACAGATATCTAATCTTTGGTAGAAGTCCATATTGCTCAGAGTGGAGTGAAATTTCACAAAGGAAGGAAGGAATGCTTGAAGTCATCTCCACAAATTTCAATGGTGTTGTTACACAATCAGAAGGGACATGTTTCAGTCTTATAAAAGACCATCTTCCGCATAATTGAAAGTTTAGAGTTGAAAAAATGTGATGTTACTAGTTGTGAAGTTGTTGTCAATGCCCATAGTCGAAAAATCGAGTTTATAAATGAAAAAACGGGTTCTCAATAAATGAAGAGCCCCGCGCTCTGATGCGCATACAATTCATCTTATCGAAATTTCATATACCAAAACGGGTTTTTTAAAAAAAGGGTTTCCCGTGCCCTTATGAAAGCGCTACTAAAAGAAAATATGAATAAAATTGATGGGGCAAACAGCCAGCACATGTTTGAATCAAAACCAACCCCAAAACTTTCGATTAGGCTGGAGATGGTCTTTTATAAACCGAAACATGTCCCTTCTGATTTGTACCTGGGGAAGCTGGGAGCAAAATATAACCAAAACTGCACCGCAGCCAAATTTTTAATTTTTCAAGGTCAAGTCGCTTAGTCACTGGAAATTGAAAATGAGAATTCAAATATATTTGTCTCTAGACTATGAATCTAGTAGATTCGTTCCATTTCCAATAATTGAAAAATTCATGTCTTACTTCAATAGTTGATGCAGCAATATGTTTTTGATGGAGTAAAAAAAATATTGAATAGTTATTTGTGCAACTAGTGCAAAAAGTTTGCAGCTCAGACGATGTCGAGAGCTACAATCATGAATCATGAGTGCAACAAATATGTTTTTGCACATGTTGCACACAACATTTTATCGATGGACGAATTGAATTTTATTTTTATTTCAAATTTTATGCCCACCGCTTCTACCTCCGTTTGTATCTTGCACTTACTTCAATAGGAATTTGAATCTAACACCGGTGAAAATCATTATTATGTTTTCATGATAATGGTTACATAAAAATGGATCCAACAGAGCAACAAAATTGAAACAATCAGAAATCCAGGACACGCGTATATGTCAACGCTTGTATGCTTTTAAATAACAGCTACGCGTCGGGCATCAAAATTCATACGCGGGAGGAAATGGATACCTCAGCTACCTTGATATATAAATAGCTATTAATAATGATAAAATACTGATAAATAAATTTCACTTATGATATCACGAGAGCTTCAATTATTAATTGAAGCTAAAGTGGTATTCGGTAAGAAAATTTCACACTGAAATATTATAATGCAAGTATACCTACATAATATTATCAGGTAAACTGTTGATGAATGATTTTTATTCATTGACCTATAGAATGAACTGGAAATAATCTGAAGTTGAATGTAAATGTCATTCAACCTATCAACGTCAAAAACTTTCTAGTGTTATTTCATGCTCCGTCCCCCAAAGAGGAGGAAAACATTTCCAATAAGTTTGTTTGTTTGCTATGGTAACGATACGAAATTTTGAGTAATATTTCCTGTGAACACTTACAGCCTTCTCACTGCCGACAGTCCTCTTCGACGGCAGACTCAGGCCCGGCTGGCCGGGAACCACCGTCTGGTCGCCGGTGGCCAGCGCCTCCTGGTCCTCGCGCTCCTGCTCGCGCTCGTCCTCGAGCACCACCGTCTGGTCCGACTTCTCGTACAGCCTCAACACCCTGTCGGCGCCGCACGACACCACGAACTGGCCGTTCGGGCTGACGGCCAACGACCTGGATTCTCCCACGTGACCCTGCGCGACACAACAGTCAGTTTTATAGCGTTCTCCACTCTCCACTCGCAGATTTCAAAGCTTTTTAGCACCGAGCAAGTTAAAGTGACACTGACTTGGTTTTATCATGAAGTGCGGTGCCAGGACGGAGCAGTGGGAATCAGAATTGATCACTTTAGGAGCCGCATCAACCAATACTTTTTCTGAGATATTGTCAATGCAAAATGTCTTTTTTCTATACGAAATCAATTCTTTCTTTTTCAATGCAAGTTTTATTCTCTGCAAAAACTCTCAGGTTGGCTATTTTTTTATCAAAGTATATGATTCGTTCTTCAACATTACTTTTATCCAAAGAATCTATGCATACGATCGAGAATCAACTTCGATAAGATGATATATGTCAATAATCCTCCCATGGGCTAGGGGATTTTTCAAATTTATAGAATCATCAATCAATTACCTTTAAAATCCATATTTTAGATTTTTTCGGTCGTTTTCAAGGTGCTAAAATCATCTACATTTCACGGTAATTTTCAAACGGCTAGAAATTTACCGCAAATAAAAACTGACGTCACGATTTGCCATATGTAGAAATACGAATGGGAACTTCAGAAAAAATTATTTATTTAATAATTGATCAATTCTCAATCATGTGTTGGCAATATTCTTAATACATGATATTATAAATTCGTGTTAATAAAAATTATATTAATTCACACTAGAGGAGATACGGTCCGGTAAACGTAACACTGGCGTTGTCTTATCAGTTATTAGCATTCAGAACAGCATTGCCAAGTCTCTATAGCCAATATTTACATGATGAATTTTCATGGAATATGAGAAATATTTTGACAAGCTGGTAAGGACGAAGGAACATAAATACAATATAAAGAAAAGACACATCGACAAATCAAGATTAATTATTAATGAAAACGTCTTGTACAACTCATTTGATTACCAACGTCAACAAACTGAGAACTGTGAAGTGTCAAGACAAATACGAATTTTACATACAAAAAATCCATTTTTTATGTTGAAAACGGGAGCAGATTCGTTCCCGAAACGTCCGAAGATAAGTGAAAATTTGATATTTTTTCTATATACCTCTAATTCTCTTCTCCAAACCTTTTTCAATACAAATTGTCACTGACAAGCTAGTGAATTCTCCTTTTATGCTCTCTGATAGGAAAATTCTTTAAACGCAGTGACATTTTGGAGCAAATCATCTGATTTGTCCTCACTACATGTATATTGAAATAGTATTCATATTTTAATAATGTACCTCCACCTAGATTAACCTACAGACAGTATTTATAATAAAATGGCTTACTCCTATCAGGTCAAATTTTATTTGGATGTAGTTTTATTCAACGATAGCACTTTTGACTTGATTATAATAAATGTTGAACTGACAACTTTATGAGGGGGAATGGAAGATTATCTTACCAATAATGAAACATCATAAGAACTGACGTTATCATATATCCGACGTATCCGAGAACATGGCCAAATAGCGGATATGACGGCATATTTGAAATGAGATTTATACAACAATTTCAAACATCGCATAGACACATAATTTACATCAAAAACGTGTAAGAAGTGCTGCAAAATATTCAATTCAGGTCAGTATCGACACAGTGGAGTTATTGAATACCAATAATTCACTATCAGTCCACTAGCCCATTCGACATCATTAGAATCGCACCATCACCCAAGCACTGTTCTGAAAATTAGAACTCTGGGCGAGGATCGTATCAAGCAAACGCTATTAGTATAGAACAAGATCAATAGCGTTTTCCACTCGCCGATTTACAGAGCGCACTAGCACAGAGCAAGTACAAGTGGCACTGGCTCGGTTCTCCCAAATAGTGCGGCTCCAGCACACAGCATAGAATAGAGAGTTGGTGCGACCTTCTTGTAATCAGAAATGTCAGAATAATTGTTTTGTCAATCAAAAAGTTGAATTATTGACATTACTTTTGATTCCGCTGGTCCACATGAAATTGATTAATCTACCTCTTAATGTGGTTTCCCTGTGAACACTGCCAACAACCAGCCAGAAACAGTCTTCAAACAATGTTCATTGTCAATGATGTTCAATTGAATCATTAGACAATAGTGATGTAGCATTCATGTAGCGTACACGAAGTTAGTATTTTTTCTTTAACTTTGAGGTAATTTTCAATCTTTCGTGAACGCTGTGATATATGTCCCATATGTATAGTGAAGAAATAATTGATGGAAAAAAAGATGAAATTACAAATCGTTTTTTGAATTAACTATCATTTACCTGTAAGGTGACGATTTTGTCGTAACTATCTGCATCCCACTCCTTCACTTTCCCGTCTTTGCCGCAACTGAAGAAATAGTGAGTTTTTGATACGAATTGCAGGCCGGTAACGGAATCGTCATGGGCAAATATGCTTTTGTGGCAGTCGCCAAAGTCCATACCCCAAATTTTCACATTTCTGTCGGCAGAACCGGTCGCAATCAAGGTGGAATCAGAGGAAATGTCCATGCACAATACTGGAAGTTTGTGGCCATAAAGTGACAGGTAAAACTAAAATCAGTGCAAAAAAATATATACACTAATCGGCAGAAAAACCGGCCACCAAAATAGTTTGAATTGATCGCTTTGTAACTTTCTTAATTCTTGTCCGATTATAGTGAAATTCTGAACAAATCGTAGATAAAGACAATATAGATCTTTTAAATTGAATTGAAGAAATGTTTTCAAAATGAGGAAATTTGTATATTATTAGAGAAGACGGTGGATTATTTTGTAAAAAAAAGTAATGCGAACTCACTTTCAATGTATCCACGAAAAAAATTTTCACTGTAGAGTCCAACAATGCACACGCTATGAATTTTCCATTTGGTGATAATTTCACACACAGGACAGTATCTTCCAATTTCAGTGTTTTGGTATGGATGAGCGACAACACTTTAGCTTTTGATCCGCTCTTCTCATCGACAATCAGCTCGAATTGCCAAAATTTCACCGTTTTGTCGCCACCGCCAGTAATGCATCCCCTCTAATAGAAAATGATTACACTTGAACTTTTATTACTAATTTTGACGTACTCACCAAATCAGTTGTTAAAGTTACCGACCACAATTCGGTAGTATGCGCAGGAATTTCTTCCAAAATATCGCCGGACGCGATATCGATTATCAGAAGATTGCCATTTTTCAAACCGGCTAAAACATGTCGGTCGCCGGGGGCGAAAACTGTGCATAGAACATAACTGGAAGAGACAAGAGACAGCTATTGTCAAAACATCGTGTGAAAATTCGCGCGCTAGTTTTCAATCGAATTGTGCGTTAAATCGAAAAGTTCGTGCAGTGTGTGACTTTTGGCGGTTGTGTAGGAGTGCATTTTACCTGGTTCTTGTAGCTGGGGCAAGATGCCTTTTGAAGAAGAAAAAACCTCCAGACATTGAGATCCCCGAAGGAATAAATGACGAGGCCAGTCTCCTGGCTTTCTTGAAACAACTTCTAGGTCGTCTAAATCGGTTGAGTCCGAATTCTGGAATTCGGATTGAAATAAAAAAGAATGAAAAATCTAAAGAAAAGTCTTCCAAGTTGGGTAAACCCGATAGAAAAAGACCGAAGATGGGTTCATCCGATTACGATTTTCCTGCTTTGAGGCTGCCCGTCTCGAACAGGTTCAGTGGCTTGAAGGAGGTCGCAGACGACGTGGAAATGGACAGTGTGTCCGTGAAATCTGTGTCATCTGTGGCTACTTCTAGCCAAGGGCCCTGCTCGTTGCCGGTGCGGCCGAAAGGAGGAACCCTCCCGGAGGAAGGGTAACTCTAGATCTTCCTCCAAATCCCGATCCCGATCTCCCTCTGCCTAGGAGTCATCCAAAGACCCTGCTTACCAGAAGCAGCCAACTGCTCATAATCAATCCTTGGATGTTCCTAGTACAGCAGCTTCTACTGTACGACCCAAAATTCCTGTTCAAAATTCAAATCCTAACCAAGTCTAAACCGGAGTAAGTCGAGTTCCCCCTATTATACTAAGAGACAAGTCGTTGTTGCTTCGGCTTAGGACTCAGCTCACAATTTCCAAAATCAATTACACAAAGGCACAAAATACCCCGGATGGTATTAAAATATTTCGTGATGCTCCCTCGTTCAGGGCTCTTACAAAGCTGCTGAACGAGTTTAATGTAACGTTTAATACTTTGTTTCTACAATTGCTAAGTGAAAAAAATTTGCGGGCGGTGATCCGAGGCATATCCGAAGATATAGAAATGAATTTTGTTGAGGAGGACCTGAAATACAGAGGTTTTCAGTCACCTCGCCTCACCGAATGAATAGACGTGATGGTACACCGATTCCATTGGTCATTGCTATCTTGCCAAAGAATGATGGCCGTCAAGGTTGAACCACAAGAGGCGAAGACAGAGATTGGCCAATGTTATCGGTACCAAAAGTTTGGTCACGGTCAGTCGATGTGCATAGCTGAGCTGACAACTGTCATCAGTTCCACCTCTACTGGTAATAGCTATTCAAGTGTTGTGCAGTCTGGTGCTGGCAATTCTCGAGATATTTCCATATGAAGAAGATTCAGCGATTTGGCCCAAGCTGTGGGTGCAAATGTGAAGAGCTCTTTGAAATTCCAAACATGATTCTAGAAGCTTCTAAAATTGTCACCTGAAATACCAACTCGCTTTCTCTTAGGAAGATTGAGTTGGAAAATTTTCTTTCAACAAATAATGTTGATGTGATGTTACTACAAGAGATGCATCTGATGGGTGAGTACATGTCTTTTCAAAATTACACCATGTTACGGAAAGATGGCCAATCCGTCACGGCATAGGGGTCAAAAAGTCTATTGTGTCTAGTCCAGCAGGAGCCTAGTCAGGTGCGTATCTGCTTATCAGCCTCCAAGGCCAGCATTGGTTGCCGAAGGCCTGGACGTTCTCTTGAATTTCAATGATTGTATTCTGATTTTGGGGGGAGACCTAAATGCCAAACATACTGAGTGGAGTCGGAGAACCAATGGCAGTGGTAAGCTGCTAAGGACTCATGCGGGTAGCCATAATTATGTTGTGTTGGCTCCGGAAGAGCCAACTCATTGTCATGGTATGGCAGTTGATAATCTAGATATTTTCTTGTTCAAAGATTTGCCTTGGTTTTTTGGGATAGAAACTCTGTGGGCGATGAGTTCCGACCACAATCCGGTGGTACTTGTGTTGGGGGATCGTGGCCCCCAAATTGAGTATCATGGAGTCTCCAAGATTTATTGAATGGACTTCACGAGAGAGTTAACACAATCCTGCCACAGAAAGAGCTCACCTCTGTTGAGATGATAGGTGATGCCATTCTCTTCTTTGAAAATCTATTGTCCACTGCATTAGCAAATAACTCGGCTGCTAGACAGTCAAATTCCACTTTGGGGAATGAATTCCCTGTTTATTTAAAAAACTTGATCAGGGCCAAGAAAACTGAAATCCAGAATTTCAGAGACGAGAAATGGATTCATCAAAAAATAAATCTATTTCCAATTGTGTTGTAGTAAAGAACAGTTTAACAATACAATAAAATGAAGGAAAATTTATATTATGTTGTTTCTGATCACATTCTCAAAATGACCAAATTGACTAGTACAATTATAGGTACAAGCACCATTATGTGGTACCTTGACCTGGAAATGTTATTTTGAAAAATGAAAGATATAATGTTTCTGACATTGTTACTGTTATATGGAATAAAACTGAGGTAATAATAAGAACGATGAGGAGGATAAATAATAAATTGAAAATAATAAGTATCCAATAAACAGTTTTTATTTCTTTCAGGACTATCATAGAAAAGCTGTTGTCAATGGCTGATACTAAAAACAAATGCCAACCCAGTATCTTTGTAGATGAAAAGTTAGCTCTCATGCCACAACATAGGGATCTTATGATTTGATAGTTATCAGGAATAAATAAACGAGAACAGGATGAATACCAAAAAAAAACACAAGACAAATATCACGAAAGGTGGCGGCGATACAAAAAGCAAATTATAACTTATCTATCCATAAATGATTGATTTCAAACATTCCTAATATGATTCTAATATTATTGAATTCAGCATTGATCAAAATTATGTGAGTGGATAATTGAAGCTATTGAAGATGAACTCATTAATCCACACTTTTTACTCAATTAAGAATCACAGTATTTCATATTGTCTACTGCCTTCATTTCATTTGCATTCGTATCATAACTATTGGAATCAATAATTCCAATTGGATGATATCAATGACTTTTCATGATAATAGTTATCAAAAATATAAATACAGTTCAAAATTATTTGTGCATTTGTTCTATTTGTGGTGTATTTTCACCGAGTTGAAAATTCATATTAGTGAAAGCTCCCTCTGACAACCATAATGTATTTTGAGTTGATTCATTAATTCCGTGATTAAATCATGGTTTTTTTGTTTCAGATCAATTTATGCCGTTCTTTGTTATGGTAATTCTTTCTAAATTGATCCAACAAATAATGAAACTTACTCAGTAGCCACCGTCCTTAAGCAAGCCTGAGATGGCCGATTCCACAGCTTGACTGACTCTGCGCTACCAGACACGATGGCCAGATTGTCGCTGCTAAAACTCACAGCCCTCACTTCGCTATGGTGTCCGTGAGAGACGATCGACCTGAGACATTTCGCCTCGGACTCCTTCGCGAACGACTGGACGCTGTAAAGTTCTACGGTGTTGTTGGAGAGACTGAGGGCGATTCTGAGTTCGCCGCCGCTGCCTAGAACCAGATGGAAGGATTTCGGCTTGTCTGCGAGTTTGATGGATGGAAGTCTTTTGACTTCGTCTCTCAAGCTCAACTGTGTGTTGTCTTGGGTATTTGGGGTTTCATCTTGATCAGGTTCCATTTTGTCCTTATTTCTATGAAGCAAACATCCAAAGTTTGTAGGATCTGATTATCTGGATTTGTCAGTTGTTTACCACATTCATTTTATGACAGGTAAGTTGTGTGGACTGGGTACTGGACCAAATTGTATGATAAGTACAACACTTCCTGTTTAGACTAGGGTAATTGAATGTTTCATACATCATTTTGAAGGATGATCTTCTTCAACAGGATATAGATCACCAAAATGAACAATTTCACCGACAATATCCAACCAGGGGGGTGCTTTCTAAATATGCGTAAAACAATTCAAAGGGGTATTTCTTCAATTGAAATAAAAATATAATAATTAACGTATATCTGTGTGTTAGCTTGGTGGACGGTTATTAGAATAAAACACTCTGGGTACTCCACGATTTCCACTATATTCACAATAGGTATCAGATACAACCTAGCCGTATCACGGCTACTTCTTAACTACTTAATATCACTCATACATCGATAAATTCTACCCAAAATACCCGTCACCTTTTACATAACTCCGTGTGTCATCGACACTCATCAATCTAGAAGCACTATAAAGGGCGTATATGTACGTAGCTCCTCGATACGATACTCTCTTACATTCGGCCATCCTGCTTTTCATTCGTCCTCGAATGGAGAATATTTCGACGATGAACCTGTATCAAAAGAACAAAATTTGTGATCGATACATTGTCAATTGTAATGGCCGTTCCAGATTATCACAGTAACAAGGAATTCTGGCAGTCCCAGATTATCACAGTAATAAGGATTTCTGGCAATCCCAGATTATCAAAGGAATGGGGAATTCTGGCAGTCCCAGATTATCACAGTAACAAGGAATTCTGGCAGTCCCAGATTATCAAAGGAATGAGGAATTCTGGCAGTCCCAGATTATCACAGTAACAAGGAATTCTGGCAGTCCCAGATTATCAAAGGAATGAGGAATTCTGGCAGTCCCAGATTATCACATTAACAAGGAATTCTAGCAGTCCCAGATTATCAAAGGAATGAGGAATTCTGGCAGTCCCAGATTATCACAGTAACAAGGAATTCTGGCAGTCCCAGATTATCAAAGGAATGAGGAATTCTGGCAGTCCCAGATTATCACATTAACAAGGAATTCTAGCAGTCCCAGATTATCAAATGAATGAGGAATTCTGGCAGTCCCAGATTATCACAGTAACAAGGAATTCTGGCAGTCCCAGATTATCAAAGGAATGAGGAATTCTGGCAGTCCCAGATTATCACAGTAACAAGGAATTCTGGCAGTCCCAGATTATCAAAGGAATGAGGAATTCTGGCAGTCCCAGATTATCACAGTAACAAGGAATTCTGGCAGTCCCAGATTATCACATTAACAAGGAATTCTGGCAGTCCCAGATTATCGAAGGAATTAGGAATTCTGGCAGTCCCAGATTATCACTCACCAAGTCACCTTGTCTTGAATGGTTTCATATTTTCCACACAAATCACACCATCGTAAGGAACTCTAGATCTGGTATTATGAATATCTTCCTTCACTCTGTAGCGATCATTGGTGAGTACTTCAACAACCCTAAATGGTCCTTTGTATTTTGCTAGCAATTTCTTACTGGAATTGCCTTGAGAAGGGTTGCTGGATATTCTCGTCAGTACCAAGTCCCCAACGTTATACGTCATTGCAGATGCCCTCTTCTTATTGAAGTACTCGTTCTGCTTCTGCCTATTTTCCTCCAACCTGGTAGCTACCTCAGTTCGCAACCTTGTTATGTCAATCAATATTTCTTCGTCGGTGAACGAATAGTCGCCATCTACTCTCAATTTTACACCAAGCATAATTTCTGCCGGGGTGGCCTTCATAGTTTTATGTATTGTAGTATTTATACCTTGTTGTAATTGATCTATTTTAATATCCCAATCATCAGCTTCAACACTTACACCCAGTGCTCCCAAACCTTCCAAAACTGTTTTATTTGCCCTTTCCACCTGCATTCGAAGTGAATGCTGTACCCGCGTCGCTGATAATTCTTCTAGGGTTACCAAAAATTGCAAATATCTTATTTAGTTCTCGTATAACATTAATTGACTTAGTGTCAGGTACGGGCCTTGGAAATGCGAACTTAGTGAAAGAGTCTATTATCACAAGCAGATAACTATTGCCATTTTTCAATTTTACGAAAGGACCTAAATGATCGATGTGTATTGTATGGAATGGTGCCGCATACTACGGGATAGAGTATAACATTCCAGGTTTTTTCCCCGCAGGTGTTTTGTGATATAAACAATTGAGACAACAATCGATATATTTCTTTACAAACTTTCGCATCTTAGGGAACCAATATCTTTCTTTTATCCTTGATATAGTTTTCTCACAAGCAAAATGACCAATGTCATCATGATTAGCTTTAACTATTTGCCACCTACATCCCTTTGGTACCACCCATCGCCTTCCATCTTTGGTTTGTCTATATACTTTATTTCCACGTAAATCGTAATCATTGAATATTGATTTATTATTATCACTGTCACCGGACAAAAGGATATCCTTGATGTCCTTGATGTTCTTGTCTTGATCTTGTGCGGCTGCTAACCAGTCGTCTTCAGATATAGAATTAATTCCTAGAATATTTGATTGGCTTATTTGGAGATTTGGAGGATTTCGGCTGAGTGCATCGACATGCCGCATCTTTGTTCCAGGGCGATGTTGAATTTCAAAATGAAATTCTTGCAAGGCTAGAACCCATCTTGCTATTCGAGGGATTATTTCTTTTTTTGACATTGCACTCTTGACTGAGTTGCAGTCGGTTATAACGATGAAAGATATCCCTAATAGGTAATGTCTGAATCGGTTCAGTGTTTTGACAACTGCAAGTAGTTCCAATTCGAAGGAATGGTTATTTTTCTCTTCTTTACTCGTGGCTTTACTGAAATACGCTACTGGTTTTTCGCCGGTACTGTCATTTTGAACCAACATTCCAGCAAGTCCATCCCGACTTGCATCAGTATATACGAGTGTTTTCCAGTTAGGATTGAATATTGATAAAATAGGTGATGATGTGATGGTATTTTTCATGTAATCAACTACTTTTTGTTGTTCGACTCCCCATTGCCATTTAGCATTTTTCTTAAAAAGTTTTGTGAGTGGAGCGGTTTTCTGTGAGAAATTTGGAATGAACTTTCTGAAATACCCAACTAAACCCATGAACTGTCGAAGTTGATGAATAGTTCTTGGCACTGGGAAATCTACAACTGCTTTAGTTTTCATTTCATTAGGAGATATGCTATTGAAAGATATACTATATCCAAGATGTGTTATCTTTTCTTGTAGAAAAGTACATTTTGAGAGTTTGATGGTCAACCCATATTCACAAATGGTACCAAGAACCAATTTCAGCTTCGATAATCCCTCTGCAACATCTTTTGATGGAATGAGGATATCATCCAAGTATATGATTAAATGTAAATGACGAAGTGGACGAAATATTTCTGTGATCATTCTTTGGAATACAGATGGGGCATTGGACAGGCCAAATGGAACACGTAAATACTCGAAGTGCCCTTCCGGTGTAATAAATGCTGTTTTTGGCACAGACTCAGCTTCCAAAGGAATTTGGTGGTAGCTCGACGCCAGATCAATTGATGTGAAATATTTAAAACCTGAGAGACTATCAATTAGGTCTTCTATTATGGGCATTGGGAACTTGTTTTTTACTGTTATTTTATTCAGAGCTCTGTAGTCGACAACCATACGTTTCTCACCGTCTTTTTTATTAACTAATAATACAGGACTAGCATAAGGGGATGAGCTATGTTGTATTATTTTTGCTTCCAACAGTTCTTTCGTGATAATATGTAGACTGTTTTTATCCCGTTGTGCCACCCTGTATGGACGAAAAGAAAATGGTTTTTCGGAAGTTACATCTATAGTCATAGATACTGAGTGAGCTTTACCGAGAGAGAACAAATTCGTGAAAATACATGATTTGGATTGCTCTATGATCTCATATAATTTAATCTTCTCGGTGTCACTTATTTTTCCATGTATAAGAAAGAATTCATGATCAATGTTGTCCATTTTTTTATTACCAAAAATTATTTCATCATCAACCCTATAATAGAAGACACTGTGATCATCGGAAAAGCTTTTTCCTATGAGGACGTCATGACCAAATTCAGAACTATCAATGACATACATCCTACAATCCAACTGAGCTTCATCGACATAACTTCGCCTCTATACATATACTCATTTATTGAGATTCCAACTCCTAAAAATCCGACCAAGGTCACGGGCGTCTCTAATTTTTTTATAGGGATATCAAAATTGTTCACCAGTTGTTTTCGAATTAAGCAACAGTCACTACCCAAGTCAATAAATGCTTTACAAGAGTTTCCATCAATCTTTACAGTTTTATATGATAGGAACTTATTTGAGGAAACAACCATAATGTCTTTTCTATCTCTACCTTTCTTATCTGGATTGGCTATCATGGTATCTGATTTCAATCTGCAATTTTTCTCAATGTGTCCTATTTTTTTACAATGATAGCAGGTTTTTTCCTTATGTAAACATTGGTTACGGTGATTTGCAGAACTACCGCACGAGTAACATCTACCTGGTAGAACTTGATTCTTGTTTTCTCGAAAAATATTGTTGGAATACCTCGGCGGAATACTTTGAGATTATGGTAATGATTCTTTATGAAAATTTTGGATGCCTTTCGGCTTTGAATGAACTGTCTTAACTTTGTTTCTCAAATAGCTAGATAATACATTCAAATCTGTGATATTGGAGGCTTCGACAGCTGAGCTGATATTATCATCTCCTATTCCCCCAACAATCAAAGAAATTTTATCAGTTTCGGTCAAATCAATTCGCAAACTATCTATTTTTGAAAGATGGTGAAAATGGTATTCATAAAGACAGGCGCCTATTTTTGGTCTATGATTCACTAACTCAATAAGCATTTTATAAAAATCACGATTTGATTTGAAAGTTTTCAATAATATTCCTTTCCAATATTCCCAGGTGAACTTTGACCAGCCCAATTCATTCCGAATTATCCCTTTGTACCAAATTTGTGCAGTTTCTCTCAGTTTGCAGAGAGCCTGGTATTTAATAGTTGAGTCATTCCAACCATATACACCAGCATAATAATCTATTATTTCTAACCACTTTCCAATATCATCTTTAATCGGGCTGAAATCAGGAATGATACTTGAAATAATCGTATTACTGCTTCTAGGAGAATAATTTACATCGCTCACCCCAGTAGAGACTTGACTAACTTGACTTTGACTCGGTTGCGAACGTCTGTTGTAAGAATCAGTTCGACGGCGTTTTCGAAAGCGAACTGACGCTGACATCTCATCTTCCGAAGGCTCAGGTGTTGATGCATCCCTATCGGAACAGGTATCACTTTCACCACTTGATGGTTCTATGAAAATACTCGACTTATTCTTGGCTTTGGGCATCACTTCTGATGTTAGCTTGGTGGACGGTTATTAGAATAAAACACTCTGGGTACTCCACGATTTCCACTATATTCACAATAGGTATCAGATACAACCTAGCCGTATCACGGCTACTTCTTAACTACTTAATATTACTCATACATCGATAAATTCTACCCAAAATACCCGTCACCTTTTACATAACTCCGTGTGTCATCGATAGATCGACACTCATCAATCTAGAAGCACTATACGGGGCGTATATGTACGTAGCTCCTCGATACGATACTCTCTTACATGTATTCACTTTGTTTTCAAAATAAATGGTGTTGAAGTTCTTGAATACAATAACGGATCTTGATCTTGATACTGGAAATATTGTCAAAATGTGAGAAGTGCTTTTTCACGTTCATAAACATTTAAATACGGTATTGTCGTTGAAGACTGACCGCGATCTTCATTCTTCAGGTCGCCGCCGCTGCCTAGCATCAGGTGGGAGGATTGCAGTAGCCTTTTTGGCTTCATCTGACCACATGGTGTGGCGGGTATTAGGAGTTTTGTCTTGACCATGTGCTATTTTGTACTTATTTCTAGGAGGCAAACATGTACAATCTTAATTATAATATTATTTTTGTAAGATCTATTATGGATTGTTTACCTTGCTAAGAAAACTGAATAGTAACTACTTCACTCACCGTTCAAAGAACGGTAATGGGCGAATGGACTGATAATGAATTATTGGCATTCAATCACTACACTGTACACTAAATTATTGTTTACAACACTTCTCACAATTTTGTTGAGTAAATAATCAGTCTATGCGTTGTTTGAAATTGTTGAATTTCAGAGCTCATTTCCACTCATGAAGCAAGGTTGTCAAGTCATCAATTATAATCAAGTTATCAAAAAGTCCTGTCGTTGAATAAAACATAATAGGAGAAACCCATGATCTAAAGTTCATTCTTGACCTTTTCCAGCAACCAGCATGTCCAAATATTTCTCATTCTCCATACCAACATATCATGTGAATGTTGGAGACTTGGTAACATTGTGTTGAATGCTGAGAACTGACAACACCACGCCCACAGGTCGTGCGCCGTGGTTGTCACGTTCGCCGATTCAAATGTCCTCTAGTGTGAATTAATGTAATTATTTTTTACACAAATTTATTATAAGCAATAAGCCACAAATCATAAGGGAACATTTTGAGACAATTTTTATTGCTAATTAGGAGTATTACCATTACTCAATTGAGAATTTATTAATTATCAAATGAATAATATGTCTGAAATTCACAATCATATTTCAACACATGACAACTGGTGGTAAATTTCTAGTTGTTTTAAAATCATCGTGGTATTATTGATGATTTTAGCAATCGAAAATCGACCAAAAATTTTTAAAAAAATATGAAATTGAAAGGTATTTGGGTGATGATTCTATTTAAGAAATAAAAAAAATTAGTCCAGTGGCCTATTATATGATTTATACATCATTTTGAATTATGTACATGGCAGTTAGGGAGAAAAGGAATCTTTTTCAACAGGATGTAGAAGTCAGGGTGTGTAGAAGTCAGGGTGTTTCCTGAATAATAATAATAACAATAATGAAAATTATTAATCTTTCAAGATCACACAGAATGATATAAGACATGTCAGGATTATAGCTACAAAAATACATAAAGATTATACTCAATGGTGCAGTATGCAAAACATTGACTTGGCACATATCATCACTAGAAATTATACAAGGTGAATCTGAAAGTGAGGTTTTTGTTAACAGGATATATATCTCACCACACTAAGTTGTTTGGCAAAAAAATGATCATATAAAATATTCAGGATGAAGGAAGTGAAGGTATTTAATGGTTTAAAGAAGACTCCAACTATGAAACATTTTGTTTACATTTTCTCAGAAAAAAATGCAAAAAGCTGATATTAGTCCAGCATTGGCAGCATTAGATACCCTAGAGTTGCATTATTTCATCAGAAACACTAATCAGAAACCTCTTTTTACATTTTCAACTCATTAATTATTGTTTTGAAGTGAATCAAAAAGCGTCAGGAGGGAAACTCAGAGGGAGATGAAGCCTTAGGTCAAACAACTTTCAGATTCTCCCTGTATACATGCCTGCATACACTCACTTCTCAATTCAAAGAATCTTGAGAGCTCTTTTGAAAATATTTTGGTCATTCAACATTTTTATGGATAGTGGGAGATGGTTGAAGAATTTTATTCCATTATACTGTGGACTGGGCTCATAGGGTGGTTGAATGTTTCAGACCCTTAATCTATATGTAACTTCAAGGGGATATTCCAGGATACTCCTTCATCAGATTTACTGAATTTAAAATTTTTAGAGTGTTTAGGCTTTCTGGCTGATATTTTATGATGCTGATGGATTCCTCTTACAGTTTTTGACATGATTACAAGAAAAACCTGGAGAAAAACCAACCATGAAGGTATTCAAATATGCTAAGCTGAAGTGATATGGACAGATCAAGGTCACAAAGATTTCAATCAAATGATTTGAATCATTATATCAATTTTAATCCTGATTGAAACCAAATTATAAATTGCTATTTGAACAAGTCCCTGAAACAGAAAACTTACCAGGAATAGAAAAAAAAAATAAAATGGCATGAACAAGGTTCTTGCAACTCTGAGACAATTTATAAATCAACTGAAAATGTGTGTACTAACATTACACATCATGAAAAATAAGATGAACAAAACAAATTCAACACTTGCTTTTTATCACATAGCTGATATTATTCAATTTCAGGACTTACTTAATTTTCTTTCTCTCCTTCTTCAGCCTCTTATTCAAGCGAAGTTTAGCTTCCTCATCAGAATAAAATTGAAATAGCTCTATCTGCATATCTGTGCCATGACATCCTAATACTTGCCCACTTGGATCACTGTACATTGATACCACCCTACCCCTCCCACCTCTGAGTAAAGCACCAGCTTTGAAGCATTGGAGAGGATGCTTAAAAATATGAATATTTCAATCTATAACTGAAAACATAAACTGAACTTACTGTGGGGTCATCAGAATCTTCTAACGAAGTTAGGGCAAGTGCAGTTGACAAATTGCCAATAATATTTTTTTGATTACTATCTGGATCTCTTTGGGATAATTTCCACACCCTCAATTCAGCATCACCACACCCTGTAACTAGATACTGGTCATCTTTCATCAATGCCAAAGTCCAAACCTGAAATGTGAATTGATAAATTTCTACTTTTTTCAAGTTTGCTTCAGATTTTACTTCAGTTTGATGACCAGTAAGAGTTTTGAAACAATGTTGAGTATCCAAATCCCAAAATTTCACAAAACTATCTTTAGATCCAGATATCAATATATTATACTGACTCATGAACTGTATTTGAGTAATGGCTCCATGATGTCCAGATAATCTACATAAACCAACTTCAGCAACTGTATCCCACACAATTATATCTGTATCCTGAAAACAAATTGTGTATATTGAGCTTTTATAATTGGAAATCATCCTTGACAAATTAGACTTTCACTTGAGTAATTATCACCTTTGAACCAGATGCTAATTTATGACCAAAGCCATCATATATCAAACTAGTAACTTCTGATCTATGCCCAGAAAAAGTACTGATAACCTCAGCAGATTTCAGATCATATATTTGTACTGTACCATCAGAATAGCCTGCAGCTAAATGTCTTTTATTAGGGCTAGCACAAATGACTGAAACAACTGCTTTTTCCCCAGGTAAAACTTGAGCCTAAAATTAAATAATGTGAATGACAAAATAAAGTTTCCATTGATGAAATTATTCATATTATACCTTTTCTCCTATTCTGAGGTCCCATATGATTATGTGTTCACAAGCACCTACTGCAATGAATCTTCCTTCTTGTCCTTCTAAAGTTACAAATACCACATTGCAACTTTGGCTGGCTATAATGTTGAAATTACCGGCTGGTATGTAACGTAAATACTGCTTTGTCAAACCCATTATTTTAGTGCCAAATTAATTCAATGAACCAAATATCATCATTGAAAACAAACTGAAAAACAACACAAATTTCAAAATTCGGAATTGTTCAAACCCATTTTAAATTTAAACATAACCTCATGTGAACCTCATATTATTCCAAGAACAAGCAGGGTTGCCAATTCTCGGAGTTGCCACATGAGCGCCCCAAGGTCTATTAACTTCTATAATTCGCGTGCACGAAGACCGACCCTGGAGGCAAAATATTGAAACACAACCTCATTCTTCTGTGAATTATTGAAACACAACCTCACTTTTTTATTTGGTTACAGAGGAATCAAAAGGTTGAAATAGTTTTTCACAATATTTTGGCATACGAATCGTGTTTCTTGCGTTATTCATTGATTCAAGCATGCCTTCGCATTGTGCTGTTGTACAATGCACAAAAAATGCAGCAAGAGACTAGGGAATATGATTTTTCAGGTAAATAGTAATCTCACATAGTTAGCATTATGAAATGTTGTCATTCCTTATTAAAATTCTTTCTGCCTTCTGCCACTTCTGCAATACAAGCTAATACTGCTAATAGATTAAACATGTCTACAACACACACGATCGTCAGCATGTCAGACCAGTCCTACCGATTGATTGCATGAATCCAATCTTCTTGCATTATTATAGAAATTTCAGGTATAATTCTATTAGCTGATCCTATTGCAGAAGGAATTCCGATGAGAAATCAGAGAAATAACCAAATTTCAAAAATGAAAACTATGTGAGTGACTATAGTAGGTACTTACTTTTGAATCATAATGTACCATCCGGATTTCTTCATCTTCCGCTGCAGTTTTTGTGCATTTTACATCATAATGTGATGGCATTAGCGAATTGATGAATAGCGGAAAAATACGATTCATATGCCAAAATAATTGTGGAAGACTATTTCGATCACTTGTAAACAAATATATTTTGCCTCCAGGGTCGGTCATCTGACAGTTCTTGCACGCGACCTATATATATAGAGTTAAACAGCCTTGGTAGCGCCCATGGATGTGACGTGACAGCAATGTCAGGGATGCCAGTAGACAAAACTGAACTCTAGATCATTAAAAAAGAATGCAGCTATGATCTGTCCGTACCCTGTATTTCCATCAAGGGACCCTAGCTGTGTCAAGTCAGTCAGTGGTGATCCAGAATGGTCACTGTTTGACTCTTTTTTGACTCAATGAACTCAATACAACTGAAAGGGAGACGGCCGTTCTCTCGAATAGCACAGAGTGTGTCAGGGGCAGCTGCAACAAAGATAGCATGATTTACGGTACAGTTTACGGTCAAGTTTACGCAATAGTTTACGGTTACCTGTCTTGACTTGGTGTTTACGTTTGCTTTACTCCACTCCACTGCACTCGTCTACGCCGAAAAGTGTATTGTATACAATCAATGACGGCTAAATATCTAGACTGTCTGACGTACAATATAAATATTATAAATTTCGATGCAGAAATTGGCAGAAACAGCGAACATACCTCTACACTGACACTCTACAATAATACAATTCGCAATCCATAATCCATTCCGTTTGGGTTAAGTTTTTATTTGCAAATGAGGTGATTTCAATATTGATTTAATAGTCAGCAAGACAATAAATCAGAGGATTTCTAGGATTCATACATTTGTAAGCTGAACTACTACATTAAAAATTTCAATACATAACCTGACTTGTTATGTAATGTTTCCACAGTATTCTGTGATGCTTCTATAGATGGGCCCAGGAATCGGCCATTTGTTCAGAAGGTATTGCTTGGTGGTGTCTTTTCCCGCTGTTGTCGTAAGCAGCATCTACGCAGATTATAGCAGGACCCAACTTTACAAAGCTAAATTAAGGAGAGAAGAACATGTATCCAATTTTACCTAAAGGAGTTACATGGCTTTCCCTACCAGCATTAGGTTATGCAATTGGATGGTACTTGGACAAGAAGGAAACTGAGCGACTAACGCTTTTCCGAGATAAGAGTGCTCTCTATGGCAGAGTTCTCAAGGAAGGTGAAAAGCCAACATGGCCTTGAAAATATAACATTGTCATGAGTAGTATGTAAATTATATCATAATGAATTTATCTGTATTTCTTCACACTCAATTTTTCAAGCTGTTGGGCTCTTTCACTAACCATAGACTATGAATTAGGGATCTCAGAATTTTGAAATTATGAGAAACATAATTCATAGTCTGGTTTCTGAGTTCTGCCCAATAGACACACAAATCCCATCCATATAAAAACCTGCCAGCAGCAGGTCCAGTTCACATGAAATTATCAGAATGGATTAGAGACAGAAAATATAGATTTTGAATGAATAATATATATTTAGCATGCTCAACATTTTATTGCACAATGATTTTAGTGGTCCTACCTACAGATGATATCTCTCATTAAACATGTAGAAATATTTTCTTAATTGTAATTTTATATGTAGGTATAGGTATATCTCAGTTTATCACAATAATTATACCTGGAATGTTTCATAAAATTAACTATCACTTAGAATGAAATAAAATATAATTCTTCATTTCAGATAATTAGGATAATATTTCCAGTAGGAATGTAATAATTTTAATGAGATGTAATTGCAATAGATCAATAACAAAATACTGTTGAATGGAAAATAATACTGACAAATACAATAAATAAAATATAACTAAACTAAGATACATGTAGGAATTTTTTAAAAGCAACTTATGAAGTGTACTCATTTTGGAAACAAATCAATAACTTTATGAGTACTAGCTCATCAAAATAATGGTATTGATAGTCAGTTATCATCATAAAATGTATAGTAAACATAACATTGTACTATTGCAATTTTTGAACAAGGGTAAATAAATAACTTTATTCCTTAATCATAGTTGAATATAGAGTTAATAATAGCAGAGATTATCTCTGAAGAAATAGTAGGTACAAGGCAAGGTATGAGGTAGGTACAGAATTTTTCATCATCTACCTATAAGTGTTTTTTTTCAACCACATCATTCCCATTATAAATATGTATGTTTGACTTCAACACTTTGATTTTCTTTGTCATCATTCATTAACCTAAGTAATTTGAAAGCATACTTTTTATTTTCTTCTGTCCATTTTGGTGGCTTAGGTTGAGTATCTAATTTGATATCAGTTGCATTTTCATATGCAGCAACAGTCTTTGGAAAGAGCTGCTTACATTTCTTATTCAATGTTTTCTTCTTAAGATCCACACTAGCATTATCTTCAGAACAAGTCACCCAATCAGATTTACTGGCATTCTCAATATCTTTATTTATGTTAGGTTTGGCAAGTCTTATACTCCTTCTTTTGTTGAGATCCATATCTTTCAAAGGACTGTAACCCTTGAATCGGATTCTTCTTTCAGATAGAGTTCTTGTGAAGGGAGCAGGTTTGACAATTGCATTCACATTGAGCTTTTTACTTGTAGGGCACACAACAGAATCTACACAACTAACATAAGTAGAATCTAAGTTGTCATAGCTGGGTTGGGTTTTCTTTGAGGGCTTTGTATAATTTAAATTTGAACTTCCACTGGTGCTAAATTTAGTATCACGACTATGTTTTAAATACAATTCAAGTTTCTGAAGTTTTTCTTGAACTGTCTTTTCCATAAGAGCAATTTTTTTCTCTTTATTAGATAGTCTATGTTCTCTCTCAGCAAGTTTTTGTTCTCTGACTAGTAAAGCTGCTTCCTTATTTCTAAGCTTCTCTAGTTTCCTTATAAAATAGTTTTTTTCTTCATTGCAATTTGCTGTACAAGTTGTAGAACATGATATAGTGGTTTCATCAGTTTGAACAAAACAGTGCATTTTATTCCACTGTTGTGATTTCAAGAGTATAGTAGAATGACATAGTATTTTATCAACATTATCTTTCAACTCTCCAAAATCTTGAAGCAGGTTGGATATGAAAGATAACATTTCTTTGGAATATGTACTCCTCAAATCTAACAATTGTTTTTCAGAAACACTGTTGATATCAATATATCTGAGAGAACATAATTTGTACAAAAGAACTCCAAGAGAAAACATGTTGTGTGGTTTTTTTTTATCACAACTCACTACATCAAAGTTATGCAACTTCACACTGAAATTATCATCTAAAAATATTTCACCCAGCTGGAAACCTCCATCATAATGGTCAATAGTTTTAACAGCAAATGCAAATTGATAAACTATTCTACACAAGAATTCTTCTGTGAAACGCTTATTATCATTAATACACATTTCCAAAAGGTCTTGCAATGAGCCATTTTTGCAGAATTTGCTTACAATATACAATAAATTAGCATTAAAGTGAAGTTATCCACACATTTCCATCCACACTTTATGACGTGAAGAAAGTTGTATTTGGAATACACTGTGGGTCACATGCGGTGTTGCCAAAGTTTAACAAATATCATTAGATATTTCATTAAGACTGTTGAAGTATTGATTTATAAAAAATCTAACAGGACACATACAAGACTTAGTGTATCAGCTCTTTATATCAGAATTTGGCAACAAAATTGAGTGAATGATATATAATAATCATTTACACATCAATTATTACAGCACAGCACATAAAACATCTTGAACTCTTTGACAGGTCATTAAACATATGATTACCAATATAGGTATAAACACTGAAAAATATCTGTGCCAACCTGTAGGGGAAATGGAAATCACAAAAATATTCCAACAAATCTATTTTCTCAATTATTACAACGCCTGTCATCTTGAACTATTCCAAAGATCATTAAACATCTTTTTACCAACAAGCACACAGAGAAAAATATCTGTGCCAACCCATAGGGGAGATCAAAATATCAAAAATATTCAAAAAAATCATTTTCTCAATTATTACAGTGCCTGTCATCTTGAACTATTTGGGAGATCATTAAACACCTAATTACCAATACGTACACACACAAAAATATCTGTGCCAACCCATAGGGCAGATGAAAATCTCAAAAATATTGGAAAAAAAATATTTCCCCAATTATTACAGCGCGTGTATCTTGAACTATTTAAAGAATCATTGAACACCTCATTACCAATATGTACACACAGAAGAATATATGTGCCAACCGGTAGGGGAGATATGGAAATCACAAAAATTCCAATACCTACCTGTCCCTATCCTCCCTAGGAACGCACGATGTTCTTTGAACATTATAGGGATTCCCTTTCGTGCGCTCCAAGCGATAAAAAAAATACATTTTCTCAATTATTACGGAGTGTGCCATCTTGAACTATTTCACAGGTCATTGAGCATATGCTTATCAATACATACACAGAGAAAAATATCTGTGCCAACCCGTAAAGGAGATGGAGATCTCGAAAATATAAAAAAAAATCATTTTCTCAATTATTATGGCGCGTGTTATCTTGAACTATTTGACAGGTCATTGAATATATCATCACCAATACATACACACCAAAAAATATCTGTGCCAAGACGTAGGGGAGGTGGAAATCGAAAAAATTCATTTACTAAATTATTACGGCGCCTGTCATCTTGAACTATTCGAGAGATCATTCAACACCTCATCACCGAGACGTACACACAGAAAAATATCTGTGCCAACCCGTAGGAGAGATGGAAATCGCAAAAATAATAGAAAAAAATCATTTTCTCAATAAAATTACGGCGCGTGTCATCTTCAACTATTTGAAGGATCATTAAACACCTCATAACCATTACGTACACACAAAAAAATATCTGTGCCAACCCGTAGGGGAGATGGAAATCGCAAAAATAATCGAAAAAATGCATTTTCTCAATTATGACGGCGCGTGTCATCTTCAACTATTTGAAGGATCATTGACCACCTCATAACCAATACGTACACACAGAAAAATATCTGTGCCAACCCGTAGGGGAGATGGAAATCGAAAAAATAATCGAAAAAATGCATTTTCTCAATTATGACGGCGCGTGTCATCTTCAACTATTTGAAGGATGATTAAACACCTCATAACCAATACGTACACACAGAAAAATATCTGTGCCAACCCGTAGGGGAGATGGAAATCGAAAAAATAATCGAAAAAATGCATTTTCTCAGTTATGACGGCGCGTGTCATCTTCAACGATTTGAAGGATCATTAAACACCTCATAATCAATACGTACACACAGAAAAATATTTGTGCCAACCCGTAGGGGAGATGGAAATCGCGAAATAATCGAAAAAAATCATTTACTCAATTATAACGGCGCGTGTCATCTTCAACTATTTGAAGGATCATTGAACACCTCATAACCAATACGTACACACAGAAAAATATTTGTGCCAACCCGTAGGGGAGATGGAAATCGCGAAATAATCGAAAAAATGCATTTTCTCAATTATGACGGCGCGTGTCATCTTCAACTATTTGAAGGATGATTAAACACCTCATAACCAATACGTACACACAGAAAAATATCTGTGCCAACCCGTAGGGGAGATGGAAATCGAAAAAATAATCGAAAAAATGCATTTTCTCAGTTATGACGGCGCGTGTCATCTTCAACTATTTGAAGGATCATTAAACACCTCATAACCAATACGTACACACAGAAAAATATCTGTGCCAACCCGTAGGGGAGATGGAAATCGCAAAAATAATCGAAAAAATTCATTTTCTCAATTATTACGGCGCGTGTCATCTTCAACTATTCGAAGGATCATTAAACACCTCATAACCAATATGTACACACAGAAAAATATCTGTGCCAATCCGTAGGGGAGATGGAAATCGCGAAATAATCGAAAAAAATCATTTACTCAATTATAACGGCGCGTGTCATCTTCAACTATTTGAAGGATCATTAAACACCTCATAACCAAAACGTACACACAGAAAAATATCTGTGCCAACCCGTAGGGAAGATGAAAATCGCAAAAATAATCGAAAAAATTCATTTTCTCAATTATTACGGCGCGTGTCATCTTCAACTATCCGAAGGATCATTAAACACCTCATAACCAATACGTACACACAGAAAAATATCTGTGCCAATCCGTAGGGGAGATGGAAATCGCAAAAATAATAGAAAAAAACATTTTCTCAATTATTACGGCGCGTGTCATCTTGAACTATTCGAGAGATCATACAACACCTCATCACCGATACGTACACACAGAAAAATATCTGTGCCAACCCGTAGGGGAGATGGAAATCGCAAAAATAATCGAAAAAATTCATTCACTCAATTATTACGGCGCGTGTCATCTTCAACTATTTGAAGAATCATTAAAAACCTCATGACCAATACGTACACACAGAAAAATATCTGTGCCAACCCGTAGGGGAGATGGAAATCGCAAAAATAATCGAAACAATTCATTTTCTCAATTGTTACGGCGCGTGTCATCTTGAACTATTCGAGAAATGATTCAACACCTCATCACCGATACGTACACATAGAAAAATATCTGTGCCAACCCGTAGGGGAGATGGAAATCGCAAAAATAATAGAAAAACATCATTTTCTCAATTATTACGGCGCGTGTCATCTTCAACTATTTGAAGGATCATTAAACACCTCATAACCAATACGTACACACAGAAAAATATTTGTGCCAACCCGTTATTTTTGCGATTTCCATCTCCCCTACGGGTTGGCACAGATATTTTTCTGTGTGTACGTCTCGGTGATGAGGTGGAGAATGATCTCTTGAATAGTTGAAGATGACACGCGCCGTAATAATTGAGAAAATGAATTTTTTCGATTATTTTTGCGATTTCCATCTCCCCTACGGGTTGGCACAGATATTTTTCTGTGTGTACGTATTGGTTAAGAGGTTTTTAATGATCCTTCAAATAGTTGAAGATGACACGCGCCGTAATAATTGAGAAAATGAATTTTTTCGATTATTTTTGCGATTTCCATCTCCCCTACGGGTTGGCACAGATATTTTTCTGTGTGTACGTATTGGTTATGAGGTTTTTAATGATCCTTCAAATAGTTGAAGATGACACGCGCCGTAATAATTGAGAAAATGAATTTTTTCGATTATTTTTGTGCTTTCCATCTCCCCTACAGGTTGGCACAGATATTTTTCTATGTGTACGTATCGGTGATGAGGTGTTGAATCATCTCTCGAATAGTTCAAGATGACACGCGCCGTAATAATTGAAAAAATGAATTTTTTCGATTATTTTTGCGATTTCCATCTCCCCTACGGGTTGGCACAGATATTTTTCTGTGTGTACGTATTGGTTATGAGGTTTTAAATGATCCTTCAAATAGTTGAAGATGACACGCGCCGTAATAATTGAGAAAATGAATTTTTTCGATTATTTTTGTGATTCCCATCTCCCCTACAGGTTGGCACAGATATTTTTCTATGTGTACGTATCGGTGATGAGGTGTTGAATCATCTCTCGAATAGTTCAAGATGACACGCGCCGTAACAATTGAGAAAATGAATTCTTTCAAATATTTTTGCGATTTCCATCTCCCCTACGGGTTGGCACAGATATTTTTCTGTGTGTACGTATTGGTTATGAGGTTTTTAATGATCCTTCAAATAGTTGAAGATGACACGCGCCGTAATAATTGAGAAAATTAATTTTTTCGATTATTTTCGCGATTTCCATCTCCCCAACGGGTTGGCACAGATATTTTTCTGTGTGTACGTATTGGTTATGAGGTTTTTAATGATCCTTCAAATAGTTGAAGATGACACGCGCCGTAACAATTGAGAAAATGAATTCTTTCGATTATTTTTGCGATTTCCATCTCCCCTACGGGTTGGCACAGATATTTTTCTGTGTGTACGTATTGGTTATGAGGTTTTTAATGATCCTTCAAATAGTTGAAAATGACACGCGCCGTAATAATTGAGTGAATGAATTTTTTCGATTATTTTTGCGATTTCCATCTCCCCTACGGGTTGGCACAGATATTTTTCTGTGTGTACGTATCGGTGATGAGGTGTTGTATGATCTCTCGAATAGTTGAAGATGACACGCGCCGTAATAATTGAGAAAATGAATTTTTTCGATTATTTTTGCGATTTTCATCTTCCCTACGGGTTGCCACAGATATTTTTCTGTGTGTACGTATTGGTTATGAGGTTTTTAATTATCCTTCAAATAGTTGAAGATGACACGCGCCGTAATAATTGAGTAAATGAATTTTTTCGATTATTTTGCGATTCTCATCTCCCCTACGGGTTGGCACAAATATTTTTCTGTGTGTACGTATTGGTTATGAGGTGTTTAATGATCCTTCAAATAGTTGAAGATGACA